ATTTTAGGGTTTATTTACATATTTCATGAATTAATAGTTCATTCCTTCTTATTTCTGAGTAGTACAGTATTCCATTGTGTGGATATACCATAATTCCATAATTTATTCACTTATTGATGGTCATTTGGATTGTTTCTAGCATCTGGGACTATTACAAATAAAGCTACTATAAATATTTATGCTCAAGTCTTTGTGTGAACATATGATTTCCTGTCTCTTGGGAGTGGAATGGCTGAACCATGTAACAGTGTATGTTTAACTACTAGACTGTTTTCCAAAGTGGTTGTACCATTTTATGTTCCTACTAGCAGCGTAAGAGTTCCACTTACTCCATGTTCTCTTCAACATTTGTTATGGTCAGTCTTTTTATTTTAATGATAGTGTTATCTCATTGACTAATAATCTTAAGCATCTTTTTATGTGCTTATTTGCTATTTCTTTGTCTTCTTTGGTGAAGTTCAAATCTATTGCCCATTAAAAAAAATCTCCGATAGATGCCTTGGAAATATTTTCTCTCCATTTCTGGCTTGTCTTTTCATTCCCTTAATAGTGTCTTTGGAAAAGTTGAAGTTTTTAATTTTGAAGAAATCCAGTTAATCAATTTTTTCTTTTATGGATTATGCTTTTGGTGTCATGTGTAACAAATGTTTGCCTAACTCAAAGTCACAAAGATCTTCTGTGTTTTCATATAGCAGTTCTATAGTTTAGGTCTTTGATCCATTTTAAGCTAATTTATGTTAATTTCAAATGTTTAGTGGAATGCTGGTTCCTCATGCTTAGTGTGGATCTTGTAGTGCCAAGAAGTTCTCTGTTCCTATTCCACTGGCCTCTTCTAGCAGGCTTGGCATACTAGCAACCAGAGGGAGTTTCTTTCTTTCTCGCTCCTTGTTTGATGCTGGTGGTGTATTGCATTGTGTGTAATTTGGTTTGAAGCATGATATTGAGAAGGAGGTTTTAAAAAATTAAAACTACATAAAAAAATTTATAATGTTAAAGTTTTAAGTTAGAAATATCTGTATGATCTCCTGGCCTTGAAAATATTATTAAAAGATTGTTAAAAGATTGTTACTTGGTCAAAGAGAAATTGTCAAATGTGACAATTCTTACCAATTTAAAGTGAGAAGCAAAGAAATAGATTTTGAAAATATCATTGATGAATTTGCTTTCTTCAGAGCCAGGAAAGTAATATAATACATTCTTTGTTATAAATAAAATATTTAAACTAATGCTATGAGTTTTAATACACCCAATTTTACATTTTTCAGCTACGTTAATGTTCTGTAAAAGAAAAAAAAATACATAGAAACACGTATACAGAAGTATACCCTTTTTCTTTTCCCTCAGGTTCCCTAAAAATTTAATATTGTTCATTATGGATTCTTTTCATTTTTAAAATGCAATTTTTAAAAACCATTGCATGAAAGTACTTATCTTGATTAATGAGTTTTTTGGTATCCCTTAAATTTTGTTCAGGGTCTACACTCTTCTCTCACTAGTCCCAACCCTGACATTTTTACTGCCTCTTCAAAAGTAGTAAGACTTACATTTAAAGGATATTTATGGTTAAAATGTAGTAAAAGCCAATAGAAATTAGAAATTCGTAGAATCAGCCCAAGTAATTAGGTCTTATTTATTCTTTCAGTTATTCCCATGGTCAATAAAGTGGCAACCAGTAGGGTTGATGAGGCATAGAAGAGGTGGGGTGGGTATAATTATAGCTTGGATAAGAAGTTTAAAAATCCACACAGGCGGCTGGGCGCGGTGGCTCAAGCCTGTATCCCAGCACTTTGGGAGGCTGAGACGGGCGGATCATGAAGTCAGGAGATCGAGACCATCCTGACTAACATGGTGAAACCCCGTCTCTACTACAAAAATACAAAAAACTAGCCGGGCGAGGTGGTGGGTGCTTGTAGTCCCAGCTACTCGGGAGGCTGAGGCAGGAGAATGGTGTAAACCCGGGAGGCGGAGCTTGCAGTGAGCTGAGATCCAGCCACTGCACTCCAGCCCGGGCGACAGAGCGAGACTGCATCTCAAAAAAATAAAAATAAAAAATAATCCACACAGGCATGACATATGTAGAGGAACTTAAAAATTAAAACAAAATGAGAAATGACTTGATAATGTTAAAGAAGAAGTATCTTTGTGAACTTAAGGCCTTAAAAAATACCTATAGGGGGCTGGGTGCAGTGGCTCACACCTGTAATCCCAGGACTTTTGGAGGCTGAGGTGGTCAGATCACCATATGGTGAAACCCTGTCTCTGCTAAAAAGCAAAAAATTAGCCAGGCATGGTGGCGCATGCCTGTAGTCTCAGCTACTCAGGAGGCTGAGGAACGAGAATCACTTGAGCCCCAGAGGTGGAGGTTGCAGTAAGCTGAGATCGCACCACTGCACTCCAGCTTTGGCTACAGAGTGAGACTGCATCTCAAAACAAAACAAAACAAAACAGAAAAACCCTACAGAGGCCAAGCAAAGTTCTCAGGTACTTATCACCAGTCCTCAAGCTATGTGCCCCCACTGCACAAGTTTTTCTTGCTGATACATATATTTTTTTAATTAGAAAAGAGTTCCTTAGAGAATAGCTGATACCCTGTCTTGCATGAAAAATGTACTTACCACATACCAGGCACTGTTCTGTGCATTCGTATATATTAACTCATTTAAATCTCACTGTCAGTTGTCTGATAGATACTGTTGTCACCCCATTTTACAGATGAGAAAACTCAAGCATAGTGAGATGAAGTTACTAACTTAGGTTACACAGTTAATAAATGCAGAACTTACATTTGAACCCAAGCAGTCTAGCTTCTGAGTCTGGCTTATAACTCCTAAGCTGTACTGCTTCACATGTACCAAAGAGTTTTTGAATACAACAGAATAGACTAGATCAAATACGTATGTATTAGTTTTCTGTTGCTGCTGTAACAAATTACCAGATTAATTTTAAAAAGTTTGGGACCATTGACCAATATGGGTCTCATGTTCTAGGTGTCTGCATGTAATGTCCTTTCTATATGTATTTTTCTTCTCTTTGTGTAGGGAACAGTGGATATAGGCATCTGTAGGTAGTCCAAATACTTAAAAAACACCAACAGCTGGGCGCGGAGGCTCACACCTTTAATCCCAGCACTTTGGGAGGCCAAGGCAGGTGGATTGCCTGGGCTCAGGAGTTCAAGACCAGCCTGGCTAACATGGTGAAACCCTGTCTCTACTAAAATACAAAAAATTAGCCAGGCATGGTGGTATGCACCTGTAATCCCAGCTACTTGGGAGGCTGAGGCAGGAGAATTGCTAGAACCTGGGAGGTAGAGGTTGCAGTGAGCAGAGGTCATGCCACTGCACTCCAGCCTGAGCGACAGAGTGAGATTCTGTCTCAAAAAAAAAAAAAAAAAGAAAAAGAAAAAGAAAGAAAAAAGAAAAAGCACCACCACCACCACTACCAAAAACAAGCTGGACCCATTGTAAGAAGGGGAAGGACTAACAAGCACCAATAGTCACACACAATGGCCAGGAGAAAGTATTTCCAAGAATATGTTGTAAGATGATGGATTAGCCAGATGGCTGGAAAGAGAACTGTCTGTGCAGACTTTATCATTAGGTCTCCTGGGAGGTCTAGTATCTGTTGGCTCTGCCAGCCACCATGAGGTCCTCAAAAGCTGTAATGAAGCAGATGTTAAACTGAGGTAGAACAAACTGTCCAAGAAGGATGAACATGGGGATAAAGAACAAGGTCCAGGTTGAGGAAAGGTGTGGGCTAGATGGACACTTGAACCTTAGCTGTGACAGAAGGAGCCAGCCTAGTAAATGCTGGCTCTAGACCAAAAACTACTGGATACGGTTTGGTGAAGGGAGAAGTTGGGAAGGGGGAGACACTTTAGCTTCCTTCACTCATGCACAAAAAAGTTATTTAAGTGCTAGAACCTAGTCTGAGTCATGATGATGAATTTCCTTTGAGCCCTAGTGTTAGGTGTTACGAACAGTGGAACTGTTGTAAAAGGTTCCTTCAGATTGTCAGTGATTTTGTTCTGCCTAATGCATTTCTACAGAGAGTATTCATTTAATTATTATATATGTATTTATCAATGTAGCTGTGGCTTGTATCAGTTGTCAAAACACTGGCTCCCTTGTTAGAGGAGCTCTTTGAAATTCATTGATGGACTAAATATGACTTGATATCTAATTTGTTAAAGAGCTATCACAAATTTTTCATCAGAGGATCTAAGTAATTTTTTTCTTAAAAGATCTGTAATTTGACTGAGAGGAAAGTTATCTTGCCTCAGATTTTCAGTATATTTCTATTTTAAAAGGTCATCTCCTTTTTTGAGGTTAAGATCCCGTTTTAGAGGCTACATAAGATATTTAGATGGGGTTGTATTTCTCCATACTGAGGTCATGAACACACTTACAGAAGACTTAGTAATAGTGTTGCATCCTCCTAAGGTAAGCTTTTCTCATTCTAGTGGGCTGCAGCACCAAAGTTTTTGTAGTTGACTGGAGTTCCGAGTCAGCCTTGATTCTGCCTCCTTGACAGTGACCGAAGTGCTCTACTAGAGAATTTACTGATGGACCAAACCCCATAAATGTGGTTGTCATTGCCAGCAGAGAAACATGCCATTCTGAGTATTTGTAAAATGTTCTTGTAAAACTGTTTTGTGAGCAGTTGTTTTACATTATTTTTACCTTTAGAGATTTAAAAAGAAAAAAAGCATCCATTTTATGCATAACAAGAGATATGCACATAATCCACTGTGGGCATTTGGCTTACCTTAATATCAGTCATTTTGACTGTTTTAAAATAATTCTGAAGAGATACATACTTAAAGTACTTTTATCTTGAAAATGTCTTTCCCTCCGTGACATTGCTTTGCTTCTGAAGGTCAGCCTTCTTCCTTTTATTTTTAAAAATTATATTTTTGTCATAAGTACATATTTTCTTCTTAAAATAGATCTTTGATATGCATTTTTATACTCTATTTATAATTCATTATTTTAAACTTTCAGGCTCAACTTTAAAGAAGCTTCTACACACTGGAAATTCTACTAAGGTATTTATTTTATCATGTAATGGCATTTTTTATTACTCTTAAATTTGTTAATGCCACAAAGTAACAATGTTAGGCTATTTTGGAAAAAAGATCTTTAAAAACCACTTGATTTAGTTTTAATTTTTAATTGATAAATTATATTTTTAGGGTTTTGTTCTTACATCATACCTTATTGCGAGAGACATTTTAAATGGTATTAGAAGAAAATGGGTTGGGCTTCAGAGTTTAGAGTTCGGAGTTCTAATTCTGATTCTGCTGGGTATGGATAGGGACCATGGGCAAGGCACTGACTGCTCCAGTTTATCATCAGAAAAAGGAAGAGCAGTCCCCCTCTAAACTTCAGAGCTCACATGCTTGATTCTGTCCATCTTGGTAACCTGGTTGTTAAAATTATGGTTGTCTCTAATTAATTTTACTAATTTTGAGAGCCATTGTGGGAGAAAAGAACAACAGGGTCTCACTCTTGAGTATTTATTTGTGGCAGATTTATAGGTTAAAATTGGTTTATTTTGAAATGGGTATGTCTTTTATTATAACATATACTTCTTGATGCTGAGATAAGATTTTGCTAAAACATAAGTGGCAGAAAAAATTCAGCCTGGGATGAATATTTTATGAAAGATAATTCACTTGGAGTTAATTACGTTGTGTGAATGCTTTTAATAAACTAATATATTGGTAGTTTTATACTAGCTTAAATAATCACAGCCTCTTAAAACTTGATATGTTAACTGTTTCTCACATGTTGAAAAAAAAAGGAGTTATTCCTAGCCGCACTGTAGATTCTGTATTTTGTCCCTCTTATTTTAAAGAAATAGGGTTATGATTAAAACCTATCAGTTTGTTAATCTCGTGTTTATAATTACCCTTATTTATGTTTAGTTCTCTTAAATACAGTTAACATATAAAAATCAGAGACTTGTGATAGAATTTCATAGAAACTTCCCTCTTGTTCAATTAAATATAATTTAATTAGATATACATAGAGCTGGCTGGGCGCAGTGGCTCACACCTGTAACCCCAGCACTTTGGGAGGCCAAGGCAGGCAGATTGCCTGAGGTCAGGAGTTTGAGACCAGCCTGGCCAACGTGGTGAAACCCTGTCTCTACTAAAAATACAAAAATTAGCCGGGCATGTTGGTGCATGCCTGTAGCCTCAGCTACTCAGGAGGCTGAAGCAGGAAAATTGCTTTCCCCCAGGAGGCGGAGGTTGCAGTGATCCGAGATCATGCCACTGCACTCCAGTTTGGGCAACAGAGTGAAACTCCATCCCCCGTCAAAAAAAAATATATATATACATAGAACCTTCTCTCTTCTCTCCTCTCTCCTCTCTCCTCTCTTCTCTCTTCTCTTCTCTTCTCAGTCTGATGGCTGAATAGTAATGTTACCACTCATTTTACCTGCTTGGCGAGAGGAGGGCAGGTGTGAGCAGTCATGGAGGTTTGAGTGGAGCAGTGGTGGAGTCCAGGAGCGTGTTTGGAAGTACGCTGTGAATTTACTCTGTTAATGGGGCAACACTGTCACCAGCTGGGGTGTCTGTCCTAGTGTATTTTGACTTCTATTGGGAGTCAGCAGAATATTTTTATTTATTTATTTTGGCTCTTCTCCACTTTTTGGTTTGGTTTTATGGCAAAGCCTTGTGTCTGACTTGCAATGTTCTTGCTCTGGCAGAGTCAGCACCACCTTGAATTAATTGAAAGGAGATGAGGCAGTCACCCCAGTTGCTGGCATTTGGAGCTCCCTACATCTTTCAGCTGCATGTGACATTTTTTCAGTCTCTTTTGCTTATTTTTTTTTAATTGACATAATCTTTTCAGTCATTTAGGAATACAGAAATGGAGGGACATGTGCTTTTGAATTCTAGGAATGGGATAAATTTGGAAGTGTAAAGAAAGAAAAAGGACACATCTCCCTATGTTGATGTTTCCTACAGCATGATGCTGGCAATTCAGAGCATGGCAAAGGTGTTGGAGAAATAGAATAGGGACATAAGGTATGAGGAGAGCTGCTCTGTCTCATTAAGCCAGGCCTTCAAGGTCTTATTTAGCTCCTAGTCTTTTGATTCTCAAGAACATTATCAACATATTATATTATAGTGATAGCACATATAAATTTGGAGGGAGATTATCTTTGTCATTGTTTTTATGGATAATTGAGGCCATGGGTACTGTTGCCTTACAGAATAAGATACTATTAACAGGAAGCACTTACATAGTGCTTACTGAGAGTCAGCCATTGTGTTATTCGGTTTACGTATGTTAACTCAGTCTTTATCATAGTCTTTTGTGGTAAATGCTCTTATCCTTATTTCACAGATGGGGAGACTGAGGCATGGAGAAGTTAAGTGGTTCTCCGTGGGTCCCAGCTAGAAAGTGGCAGAGCTTGCATTTGAACCCAGGCACTTTGGCTCTAGAACCCTGGCTCTTAGTTCGTGCTGTATTGCAGCGTCTTTGCTTATCTGTCACTAAGTGAAGAAGTTGGTGTACTATCTAACACCCCTTTAACTTGTAGTTTCTCTTTCTCAGACTGATGCTCCATTGTAATGCATTTTGGTAAATACATGTTAAGTGTTTCATTTTCATTGTTTTTAATTTTGTTTTTAGATAAGATGTGAAGGAATCAGGCTGTTTCTTCTGTGGCTTCAAGCACTTCAGACAAACTGTGCAGAAGAGCAGGTGCTGATTTTTGCTTGCCTGGTGCCTGGTTTCCCAGCAGTCATGTCATCCAGGGGCCCTTGCACACTGGAGACACTCATCAATCCCAGCCCTAGTGTAGCTGATGGTAAGTTATGTTAGCAGATCTCCCATGTTGAAATTATTCTTGAACTTACATTGAGAAATTCTTTCTTTTTCATTTTCTTTTTCTTTTTTTTTTTTGAGACGGAGTCTTGCTGTCAGCCAGGCTGGAGTGCAGTGGCGCAATCTCGGCTCACTGCAAGCTCCGCCTCCTGGGTTCCCGCCATTCTCCTGCCTCAGTCTTCCGAGTAGGTGGGACTACAGGCGCCCGCCACCTCGCCCAGCTAGTTTTTTTTTTTTTTTTTTGTATTTTTTAGTAGAAACGGGGTTTCACTGTGTTAACCAGGATGGTCTCGATCTCCTGACCTCGTGATCCGCCCGTCTCGGCCTCCCAAAGTGCTGGTATTACAGGCTTGAGCCACCGTGCCCGGCCTTCATTTTCTTGAATAGAAATCCTGATGGAGTCTGAAGAGGAATTATTCCCCTTTCACATTCACTGTAGATTCTTACACACCTTAGAATCAAAAGACTTGGAGCTTATTTTATATGAAATGATGACAGGAGATATTTACTGAAGTGATGGAAGCAGGAATAGGAGGGGACAGATGTTGGCAGTAGCAGGAAGTAAAAACACATGGGAAGTCTGAACTGGTTTTCTGGCTATTAATGAGATTAAACTCCACCATCCAAAGCTACTGTCTATTCCTTATCACTGTTGTTCATAAGTGGACATTCATCTGCTCAACAGGATCTTATTTTGCCACTGTGTATTTTCCTGCAGCATCTATGGAAAGACAATAGTGGTCTCATGGGACTATTAACGGTGGCCATTTGTGTCCTATGAGTTTTCAAGGAATTTGCCTGTTGGGACCATTGATCTATTACTGTATATTGCACTATTGCTCAATGACTGGCGTTTGATCTTGGGCTGACCAAAGCAAAATTTGAAAGGGAAAGAATGGTGCAGCGGGAGAAGGTGCTTCGTGGGCATCTATCTGGGCTGTGTTTCCAGGCCCTTTAGGCACACTGCCTTGGAGTGTGCTCCTCAGTGTGAGCAGTTTCAGTGGATGGAGAGATGTATTTTAATAGAGACCATTTTTAAAACCCTAAATTCTGTTTAAAATTTAACTTTGGTGAACGAGCTCTCATCATTTTCTGTCCTTTCAGTAAAGATATATCCAGAAGAAATCACTCCACTCCTGCCAGCCATATCGGGGGAGAAGATTGCTGAGGACCAAACCTGCTTTTTTCTTCAAATACTATTGAAATATATGGTTATTCAGGTCAGAGAAAAATTATGACTCTTTCAGTGTGGTGGGTTTATTCTCAGCAGGAAGAGGTAATATTGCCTCTTTTCTCCCTGCGTATCCGTATTTTTTCCCTTTTCTTTTTCTTTGAGGTGATTTTATGTGATATTTCAGCAAGTGCAGAGTATGTACCATTTTTTAGGTCACTGCAGCAAGACCAGCTGTATGTACTATTTTGTGAGTGTGTTTAAACCATTTTTCTCTCTTTACTCCTTTCCTACCCCAATCTCTATGCTTGCAAGACAGGTTGAAGGAGGAGGCGGGCCCAGAGGCTGAACAGGTGGACAGGAATAGGCAGAGAAGACCTGTTATCAGGGGATCTGAAGGAAAGCACATGGAGCAATCTCCTCATGCCATTGGCACAGGCCTCCTTTATGTCATGTATTATTTTTTCTCATATGCACCAATTGCATACAGAACTGAAGTAACTGGTATGATTTTAATAGGAGATTTGTGACCCTGGTCTAGATTTCTGAATAATAGTTAGAATAAAATGTGCTGATTCTTTTTTCTCAGCAAATACTTCTGTTGTCCTTGAGTTCGTCCTGGGTATTGTCCAGTATCTGTCTTCCCCTTCACAGCCGAGTTGTTGAAGTAATAATCTCTACTGAGTTCACATCCTCACTTCATGTTCTTTTGACACCCACTGTTAGCTGCCTTCTGCTCTGTCACTGCTAAAGTGGCAAGCCCCAAACCACAAGGGTTCTAGGGTCAGCCCAGAAGGAGGGCACACTTCAGGTTTTGCTCTCCTTGTTCTTTGAGGGGATTTGACTACCCCTCCTTCATGAGTTTCTCTCCTCTTTTGATATTTTCTCTGGCATTTCTCCCTTCCTTTCACTCCCTTCTAGTTTTCTTTGGGGAACTGTGCTTTTCTCTGCTGTCTCTCAAGATTTAGTACTTGACTGCTTTTTCTGAATACTCAGCAATTTTGTCCCCTTTCCTTGCCCCTTTCCCTTTAGCCAGAAACAGAAACACAGGACTTCAAAATCCTGAAAACCTGACTGGGGCATGCTTTCATATTCTGGAAACCCCACATTTGAACTCTAATGGCCCATTCTAGATGCATCTCAAATGCCAGCTGTTCAGAAATGTTTGGACATTCCATTTGTCCTGGAAAATCAACAGAGTATCCAGAACTTGTGTTGGGGGCCTTGGGTTCTCATTCTAGGTGTGTCACTAATGAGTTGTGTGACCTCAGATAAGGCAGATGGAATTGATATAGGATAGAGGTTTGCATGCAGACTGTGAACCTTCTAATTGTGTGCAAAGTTTTAGGTGCATATCGGTGCCTCCCTTCTGCCTTCTCTTCTGTCGATTGAGATGAGTTCTCAGAGCACCGCTTTTGGCATATTACGGATGCTGAGCCCTGCTGCCCCTGGGGTAGCCAAAGCATCTCATCCCTTGACCTCAGGTGCTGCACAAATTTCATTTTCTAAGTGGGCATGTCAGGAAGGAAGTTGGGAAGCCCTGCTCTAGAGTGCTCTGTGGTCTAACAAACATTAAGAACCACTGACAGGTCTTCTCTAAGGGCCATGTTTCCCTAAATCATGTGGGAGTGACTGCACCTGTTTAACCAGGCTGTCCTCCTGGCTCCTGAGGGATGGTCCCAGATATTGAGCAGTTTTGGAGTGCTCCCACTATGCAAACACTGATGGGTTTTTGAGGGGGAGAATATTATCTCAACACTATGAAAGATTTAAACTTAATCCATAGTGGACTGGCATGCCTGGTTTATCTTAGCCTTTGAATTTTTTTAATACAGAGAATGCATTTTCCAAGATTCCACGGATTTTGCCTTTTGATATTGATTTTACATGTAGGTAACATTGGATGAAATTCTTGAGAAGGATTGTTTCTTTAATTTCTATTTATTATAAATGGCCTTTTTCTGAGTTTAGAAAACAGCACCTGATTATTCGTGACTGAATGTTTTAAAGGCACAAGAAATGTTAGATAATTACAAAAAACAGAAAAAATATGGACATGATATATTATAGCACATTGTAAAAGATATAATATCATTGAGTTGTTTGGTTTTCAGTAAAAATGCTGTTCTTAACATAGTTACTATTTTGTTTTGAAGTATTCATTCCTGCCATCTTTTGAGCTTTGTTATTATTTCATTACATGATTGTCAGTATATTTGTCATTTTTTACATTTAGGATAGGAATTTTAGTAACATAACAACACTTCAGTTTAGTATATGTTAATTTGAAATGTAAATATACATATGTTCTTTTCCACATATTATCCAAAGGCTGCGAGCTTGGAGTGGAAGAATAAGGAGAATCAAGATACTGGTTTTAAATTTCTTTTTACATTGTTTCGAAAGTATTATCTTCCTCATTTATTTCCATCATTTACTAAGTTAACAAACATCTACAAACCTGTACTTGGTAAGTACTGTTGGAGCCGTGTATAGAGGATATCCAAAGGAAAACTATGCAGTCTCTTTCAAAGTGACCTTTGATTATTTTAAAGTAAAATTGTCATTTTATTTTTGTATTGAATGGTAACTTTATTATTAGATGTTTAAAGTTTCTTAATAAGTGATTTTAATTATTTGTACCTACTAAGATATACCTCAGCTCACAGCAGTAAAAGGGAACCGTGACTCCTATACTTAGAAATAATTTGAAATGTATTTATGATATTTTTGGTATAATTATATTGTCATCCTTTAATGTAAAAATCTCTGCATTTCCTAAAGTCTTTCCTTGTGGGTGGTGGGGTATGGTGACCTCAGGTTTTGCTCAGTGACTGGAGGCCAGCCCAGGGCAAACAGCTGCCATTGTATGCCTTTTCTTTCATGCTGGGTCCTACATTCAGCAGCTACTACTGACAGGTGCTTATGGAGAACCAAATTTTAGGTGATTGTACAAGCTATGGGCAGTAAGCCCCAGAGGACTAGGAAACAGAAAGGAATTTCTAATTTGGCACCTAATGTTTTTTTCTTCTGTAAGAAATGAGGACTCAGAGGACAGAAGCATCCCTTAGAGTGGTGAAGGTGGGCGTCAAATCTTCCTCTCCCTATTATCTAAAACAGGTAGTTCAAATGAATAATTAAAAACAGTTTTGGAGGGGAAATGGTGACATGAGATGTTACTCTTTTGGGGAACATGGTCACCTGATTCAGTTGCCTGTGCTGTGTGTGTTCTATGTTTGCATACACACACACACACACACACACACACACACACGCACGGGAAGAGAAGCCAAAACTTGGTGCATTTTGAAAGTTGTAGAATTACTGACTTTTAGGAGCACTGGGACATGTATTTCCTTAGCTATATATATGTGAATATCTTTTCAATATTTGTTTCTGATTTCATATGTACTCTAAATTCATTGTGAAAACATGGTATATTGTTAATATTCCTAGATTAAAAGTTATTTGTTGATAATTTTTCTGCCTTATACAGGTATTTCAGATATACAAAAATTATTAAGATAGAGAGTTGAACTTATGGCAAGTAGTATCTCAAATCCAATACCATGTAATTTTCATATTGATTATGGAATTTAAAGAATGAGAAATTGACTTCTTATTAAGTCTTTGGAAAAGGTAGCATTTGATTGCCTCAAAGATGAAATGTGACTTTCTGAATTCTTTTAAATATAAAGTAGATGACATTGATTCTGTTTCATTGGATTCATCTAAAGGGAAAAGGATATAAAACTCTAAAGTTCAGTGCATTTAATCGCTGCAATGTTAGATGTTAAAATACCTAAAATTATGTTTTAATAGTTCATATATATGTTTACATTTGTTCCAGCTATAAAATTAAATTAGGTATAATGTATGTGAAAAGATTTTCACTATTATAGTCTCATGTAATTTATCAAAATTGTTAAAAATAGTTGTTAGCTTAGTTTTTCCATAGCTGTATATCATAGATACATAAACAATCACCATCACCACCCATTCTCAGTCAGATCACAAGGTGGAATCAGAAAGGAGCCTACCAAAAAATGCCATTTTTAATCATTGAAGTTGTTCATTCTTAATTGCTATTTAGACAACCAAAAATTGGATTTAATTGGAAACCAAAACATTTGTAGGGGTTACATAATGTTATGATTTATTAGCCTAATCAATCATGTGTTCTTTTTTCTACCAGACATCCCCCATTTGAGACCAAAGCCAGTGTACATTACTACAACTCGAGACAATGAGAACATTTACAGTACAAAAATTCCATATATGGCAGCTCGTGTTGTTTTTATTAAGTGGATTGTAACCTTCTTTTTGGAAAAAAAGTATCTAACTGCAACACAGAACACTAAAAATGGAGTTGATGTATTGCCTAAAATCATCCAGGTATGCCGTTCATCATCTTTTTATCTGTTAATGCTTCTGTAATAAAATACACTGGAACATAGCTGGAGTTATTGATTATTAGAGTTATTGGTTCTTCTAGGTTGTTGGTTATAGGTAAGTGATTTTATTGGCCTACCCTGTCTGTAATGCCGAGGTTTCAGAGGGAGTTGTGAGTTTGAATCACTTGCTGTGCATTGTTGGGATTGCCATGATGATGCAGTCTTGGGAGCCATTCTGAGAAGATGGCTGTTGTGTGCATACTCCTGGCTCCTCCTCATTCTCCTCACTTGAGTACCAGTGGCCTCTGAGCATGAGAACAGAGGCCTGTCTTGCCTTCACCAAGCCCCAATAGCTGGAAGGCTCTTAGGAAACTGTAAGTGGCCCATGGTGAGGACCTGTGAGGTTGCCAGGCGCCCTCCGGCATCTCAGGAGAGGGAAGTAGATCAGCAGCTCAGGATTTTGGGCTGGCTGTTGAGCAATGGTGGGGCCCCTAGAAGAGGAGGCTACCTCTTCCCTGAGGCCTTCAGAAGAGACCTTTCCTTGTATGGGACCTGCTGTGCTTTTTCTCTCTTGGCCTTGGTCAGCCATACACAAATGGGGGCTTTCCCAACAGGCTGAGTTGCTTAGGGACTTGGTGGAGCACTACCATTTGTGGAGGTCACAGAGCAGCCACTTCACTAAGGGATCATGGTGTCGTGTGCTCTTTTGTTTATTGTCCCCAAGAACAGGGATAGGAAGTGTGGTCCACTGACTGGAGATTTGCCGATGTCCTGGAAGTCCCAGAAGTCCGACCTAGGCCTGAGCTGAAAGAATGCACAGACCTGAGGAGGCAGATAAGTGGCTCTTGTGCTTCAAGGTTATTAGGAACCTTGATGGAGGAACACCAAACAGTCTAGAGCATGTGGCTCCTCTGGGGAGAAGTCACTGAAGAGTGAGAGGAGAAACCTATTTTCAAAATCTGAGGGAAGTGCGGTTGCAGTAAGAACAATGAAAGACTTGCTGGAAGAAAGTTTTAAGAAACCTTTGAATGTCTTAGTTAGAAAAATTAGTAAATAAAATGAAAATGGTAATGATTATTGCTGAGAAAAAAAATTAGTTTTCTGAAAAAACATCCCACCACAGTGACTAAAAATTTAGAGAGATAGAACTCAGAAATTAGTAGACAAGATCTAAGGACAGGTCCCTACCTTACAAATATTAGGTGGGTGGAAGAAGAAGAGAATGAAAATAATTGAACAAATAATAATAAAAGTTTATCTGAACTGGAAAAAAAAAAAAAAAGGCATGCCTCAAACTTAAAGGGTCTTTGAGTCCCAGGAAAAATTATCAAGACACAAACCTAAACAGACATTTGATTTTCAGGAATTAAGAGACAGTGGTATAAGTTTCCAGACAGGTTACTTCAAAGGAATGAGACTGAGATTAGTGTTGAACATCTAATCAAATCTGCAATCCTGCAATCTCTTTCTCTCTCTCCTTCACACACACACACACACACACATCCCCCAACAGGATGTCAGTCAAGATTAAAAGAAAGAATCATTAATTAATGGTGTTGGAATAATTGGCTAGTCTCTTACAACATACTGAAGCAAACGACAGATTGATTTAAGGTCTACAATAAAAACAAAATACTGAAAAAATGTAGGCTGGGTGCAGTGGCTCACGCCTGTAATCCCAGCACTTTGGGAAGCCGAGGCCAGCGGATCATGAGGTCAGGAGATCGAGACCATCCTGGCTAAGACGGTGAAACCCCATCTCTACTAAGAATACAAAAAATTAGCTGGGCGCGGTGGCGGGCGCCTGTAGTCCCAGCTACTCAGGAGGCTGAGGCAGGAGAATGGCGTGAACCCAGGAGGCGGAGCTTGCAGTGAGCTGAGGCTGCATCACTGCACTCCAGCCTGGGCAACAGAGCGAGACTCCGTCTCAAAAAAAAAAAAAAAAAAAGAGAAAAGAAAAAAAATGTAAGAGAAGGGAAAATCCAGGAGAGTGTCTAAATTTGGGAAGTGGTAGACTACCTTAGGTAGAAATAAGACCCAGTAGGCTGGGCACCTGTAATCCCAGCACTTTGGGAGGCCAAGGCAGGCAGATCACTTGAAGCCAGGAGTTCGAGACCAGGCTGGCCAACATGGTGAAATGCTGTCTCTACAAAAAATACAAAAATTAGCCAGGCATGGTGGCAGGTGCCTGTAATCCCAGCTATTTGGGAAGCTGGGGCAGGAGAATCGCTTGAACCTGGGAGGTGGAGGTTGCAGTGAGCAGAGATTGTGTTACTGCATTCCAGTATGGACGACAGAGCGAGACTCCCATTTCAAAAAAGAGGAAAGAGAGAAAGAGAAGGAAGGAGGGAGGAAGCAAGGAAAGAAGGAAAGAGAGAGAAAACGGAAAGAAAGGAAGGAAACAAAAAAAGGAAAGAAAAGGAAACAAAAAAAAGGAAAGAAAGAAAAAGAGAGAGAAAGACCCAGTAGCCATGGAAGAAATGAGGTTTGACTTTATTTAAAAAAAAAAAACAGTGAAAGATTTTTGTGTCAAAAGACTACATAAGGCCAGATCCAATCAATAGGCTATGAAGTAACATTGTGACTATTAAAAGGGTTAAGATCTCTGCTATATAAAGAGTACCCACGAACTGGTAAGAAGACAACCCCACTGAAAAATGGACAAAGGAGATGAAAGGGCGGCTCATAGAAGGCAGACTACAGGGACCCCTGATTTTATCGGCCGTCAGAGAAATGCAGTTAGTTCTGAACCACAATGAGATACCTTTGTTCACTTATCAGGTAGACAAAAATCTGTATGAAATTATGTGTAGGAAACGCAGTCATGCTCTTTGGTAAATTTACATCACATCTGAAGCGATTGTCACTCAGTTCAAAAAAGTCTTAATTAAGGGGTGTAACCTTTCCTCTCTGGTTTAAAAAGATCAGAAAACCATCACCTGTATTTACTGAAAATAAGTAGCTCATTCTTGAAAAGTACATCTGGATGATGAGAAGTAGAAAGAACAGCAAATTAACCACTGCTTTCAGGTTCTGATTTTTTCTTTTAGTTGACTCTTCACAGTTGTGAGTCATCTACTTTTACTGTCTAGCTTTTTTAACGTCTTAAAGGTTGGAACTTCGGAATCAATTAGGATGGTTCCCATCATCCTCATGGAAAAAGGATCACAGCTCAAACTGTCTTAAACATAAAATAAATACTTTGATCTTACTAAAAAGAAGCACATGGTGAGGCTGGCTGAGAATACGGTTCACTCAGGCATTCTCCCTGGTTCTCTGTGGTCTTCTCCTCACTGTTCTGCCCTTTCCCTCTGACAGCTTTGTCTACAGCAACTTCCCCCTTGATTGTAAGATGGCTACCAACAGCTGGGGCACTGCTTTTCTTGTTCACATTTAGAGGCGATCCAGAAATATAAAGCCCTTTCCGTTTGTCTGAGTGGAACAACTTACGTTACCTGCCTCCCCCGGAACAGTAACAAGAAACTGATTCGCTTAAAGCTGGGTGCGTGAGTGGGCCAGGAGATGTCATGATTGGCCTCCACAAAACAGATTGGTCCCTTAGTACTGTGGATGGGATCAGCTTCCTGTGAGTCAGTTGAGGTGCATAGGAGGCGGCACACAGAGGACTGAGGTTCTGTTAGGGAGGGAGAAAGAGTGCTGGGCTGACAGCCATTTGTACCCTCTGTGCCATCACACCCTGCAGATGACTGTCCCTAGAAATGGCCACTACCATTCTAGAGACTGCCACTATACCTCACAGTAAGTTGTTATATTAGTTTCTTACTGCCACTGTTGCAGATTCTCACAAACTTAATGTCTTGAAACAGTACAAATTTATTATCTTACGGTTTTGAAAGTCTGAAATCCAAAATCAAGTTATTGGCAGATCTGTGTTCCTTCTTGAGGTTCTAGGGGAGAATCCTGTGTTCTTGCCATGTCCAACTTCTAGAATCCTGTGTTCTTGCCGTGTACAGCTTCTGTATTCCTTGGCTGTGGCCCTGCATCACACCACCTTTTCTCCCAGTTTCCATCATCACTTAGCCTTCTTTGTCTGTTATCCTCCTGCCACCCTCTTATAAGGACCCTTGGATTATATTGGGACCGTTTGGATAATCCAAAATAATTTTTCTATCCCAACAGCCTTAACTTAATCACATCTGCTGTGTCTCTTTTGCCATGGAAGGTAGCACATTCACAGGTTCTGGGGATTAGGACATCCTTGGGGAAGTCATTATTCAGCCCACCAGTGCTGGTTGGTCTGCAAGGTCCAAGATGATTTCATTCACATGCCTGCTACTTGATGGGGGCAGTTGGAAAGGAAAGCTGGGTTCATCTGGGACTTCTTGTTCTGTTTTCTGGTTAACAAGGTAGTTGGACTTCTTATATGCCTGCACAGGGCTCCAAGAGTGAAATGTTTCAAGAGATGGGAATTGTTAACCAACAGCCTCTTGGGCCTGAGTCTGATACTGGCACAGGTCTCTTCCATTCTATTCTACTGGCTAAAGCAGTCATACAGTCCATGAGGATGAAAGGGAGGGGACATGGGCCTCATGTCTCTGTGGAAGGAGTGTTAAAGAATTTGTAGTCATCTTTAATTTGCTATGTATGTGCATTTTTTTTTTCTTTTTTAGTTTGTGGGGAAAATGGGAGTTCTAGGTCAAAAAGTCACAGGTTATTGAGCCATAAGAGACTTTAGACCTAATCTAGCCTCTGTGTCCTACAAATTAACATATATGTGTGTGTATATGTGAAATCCAAGTGAGTTGCATGACTCGCGTTACAGTTAGGAATGTGGAGAAGCAAGTCTTTTGATTCTTAGTTTGGGCCTCTTCTTTCTGTGCTATACTCATCCTTGGGCCATTCCTACTGAAGCTTCAGATAAAAAAAAGAATAAAATGAATAAAGTGTTATTTTCCTGTGGAAGATAGTGGATCCGTCAAAAAGATAAAATAATTTCCATAGGTGAGCACATCTCACAGTGTGATAGTGCCTTTGATAAGCCACACAGGCTTAGTAACTAAGGCATGAAGAGAAAAATTATTTCAAGTATAATATTCCTTTAATTTTCTCTAGAGATTACTATTGGATATCTGTTTTGTTTTCAAACTGTGCTTGGTAGTTACTGAAATTAGTTTTGCACTATTCATATCTTATCTCTTCTTGTAAAAAATATTCACAGTAGGTAAATTTTAGTTGTATTTGGGCTATGTGTTTTTGACACTCAAAAGTAATAATGGAGTTTGCAAAGATGAAGCAAAATTATACGTATATTTTGTTTGGGGGAAACCTTTAATTCTATGTGGATATGAGAGCAGAAATCAGTGTTAAGCTTTGTGAGTGATTGCATGAATTACTTCATTTCTTTGCATGCCTAAAGTCTTTTAAATGTTTAAAATTTTGTGAATATTTCTTTACATTAGACCTAAGATTCTGAGGATAAAGCTGAGATCAGCATTCTTCTGATAAAATACCCTTTGAAGATCTTCACACTCCACTGTCAAGCTGCCACTTAGTCACATAAATCAAATGATGCATCCTATCATTGTTGTTGCAAGAAGTCCCCTGAATTTTCCTATCTCTGTGACCACAGGAGCAAATGCTAAGGTGTAGAGACCTGATGTGATGATAATACAAATGTGTTTACACATTAATTTATTCTGTGGTTTTACAATGCAAATTAAACCTTTCAGATTGGGAAAATTTCACAGCCCTCCTTTCTGAAACAGCTTAGTAGTTTTCCTTTTAAAATAGCTGAGTTGGGAGGGATTTGTTGGTTAGTTAGAAAATTGGTAAGTACAGGCTCTGGAACCTGTCGTGCTTCAAGCAGTTGCTGGTTTTAGTTTGCTGTACCCTGTGCACGTTGATGGTAACTAGGGTTACTTAAAACAAGGCAAGACTGAAGTTTGGCCAGGTGTTCTTGAGTTGGGGTGAGCATCATTGAGAAGTGTGCTGACTTTCTTCCAGACTGTTGGTAGTGGTACTGTGCAGGAGAGAGCGCCTGAGCTGGATGGTGGTGGGCCCATGGAGCCGGACAAAAGCCATTCTAACAGCAGCACCCTGTCGGACCGAAGACTCAGTAACTCCAGCCTCTGTAGCATTGAAGAAGAGCACCGAATGGTGTATGAAATGGTACAGCGGATTCTCTTGTCAACACGAGGTTATGTCAACTTCGTGAATGAAGTATTTCACCAGGTTAGTGTGTGTGTGTGTGTGTGTGTGTGTTACAAGTTCTTGAAATGGAAACGATTTTGTTTCATGTTCTTTTACTTGTAACACTCCAACAAATAGAGTTGATGAGTTGGGTTACGTTACAGAACTGAATAATAACAAATGATTCCTCTAATCTTTTAATTTGTGTGGATTGCTGTGATTTTTAAATTTTGTTGTTGAAAAACATTTACACAAGGAGGGAAAATTCTATATTTGAGCAAAATCATGAGACAGATACTTTCATGTTTTTGTGGCAAAGTAAACTCAGAATTAGGTGGGAAGAAAGCCATTCCTGAATACCCAGCAACAAATGAACACAGCAAAGAAGAGTCCAGTCTTATTCCCAGAGCCTCAAGGAGCTCTCTGAGGAGCTGGAGGTTTCTGCAAAAACCTTGCAGAGGTGTGTGGCACTCACAATATGATAGAATTATTTATGGCACTAGAGAAAAAGGTAGGTGGCAAGGGGAATAAAAGGAAAGAAAGGAGCAGAGGCCAAGACAAGAAAAGTACTGGTGCTTTTCTTGGTGTTCAAGGTACTGGTGCTCTTGAACACAGGAATGTGGCCTATTTGTGGGTATGTGTATATGAGGCGGAATAGTTGTTTTATCCATAGACCTGAAAAGTAGGTTAAGCCCTTGAATGGCAGAGTCCAGTTGTAGGTGAGGAGGAGAGGAAGAGTCTTGTACATGTGAATGACGGGAATGCACCACAGAGAACTTCTTTTGGCGAGGCAAGTTTTTGAGATAGTGAATGATTGGCCCTATCACTTCTGGGACTTTAATTACAAAAAATCAACCAAAAATGAAAGTCCCAACCTAATCCATAGCAGTGTAGAGATTTTACCATATTTTCATTTTAATGAAGAAAAAATTTTACTTAAGAAAATGTTTGTGTAGTCTGCAATTAACATTCCACTTATAAAATATTTTTTTCTGGTTCTGTGGCCTGGCACTGCCTTGGTTCTTCTCACTCTCTGTGTCTTTCCTGTTTCATGTCTTGGCCCCTCTTCTTGTTTCATCCCAAATTACAGGTGTTAACCAAGATTCAGGGCTCAAGTCTTTGCTGTAATTCTACACTTGGCCTCATTGGGGCCTTTACTGCGGGTCCAGTGCCAGCAACCACTGTGGCATGTCTCCCAGTCAAGCCTTTTGTCTGAACCTCACTTGTAAATAAAAATATTAATTTCATTAAACAAATTTTTTATACTCATGAAAGATTTGTTACTGGCAGAGGATATACTACACCAGGAGCCGGAAAGCGTAACGCAATGCTGCAGAGACCAGGTACACCTGAGCACAGCTTCAAGGGCCTCACTCTGCTGCACAGAAAATGTGCCCTCTCGGGATCATGATTCACCATCATGAGAGTGAGTTATCTGTCTCAGGGAAGACAGGGCGCAAGTTTACTGAGAGGTCCTTCAGACCTAACTAATCACACGGCCAAAATCAGGCAGAATGACTGAGTAAACCAGCTGTAGACTCTCAGTGTCTACATTGTCACTAAACAATGTAGACAAGGTGGCCCTGGGTGCCTCCTACACTTGTCTTTTAAAATGGCCATGTGCCATTGCATCTGATGTTCCTGTAGTATCTTAATGATAACAAGACCAAAGCCTGGCTCATTTTTTCCCCCTAATATCAGCTTATCCTCTTGACTTGACTGCTTCTTCAAAGGGACCTGTATTCATGTTTGCATCTTAATTTTAATGCTCCTAGGTTCCCCATCTCCCTCTCCTCCTATGACAGTCACTGGACAAGTCACACAGGAGTTTTGCTTGCTCCTTTGCTCTCCATTTTCTTTGACTGTGGTTAGCAGCCCTCTCTTTGAACTCCCCTCTTTCTGTGTCATCCCTTTCTAGGTAGTACTGCACACATCATACTGCCAAAACAGTTTTTTTTTAATAATAGTCCATGATTTGAAAACCTAGCCCATTGCCTACATTAATGTTGTCATATTCATGCTGCTGTTGTACATGTGAGAAGTCCATGGCAACTATTTGAGTTGAAATAGTCAGGGTCCTGGAGTGTATGATCTATAGCAGGGGTCAGCACACTTTTTAAAGCAAAAGGCCAAATAGTAAGTATTTTAGGCCTCATGGATTATCCTGAATGCACCTCAGAGAGACAGAGAGGTGAGAACTGTGAGAGATTGAGACCTGGAGGATCTGGTGAGAAGGTTCAATAGGTATTCATGTCTCCTCTGGCTGCATTATTTTTTTGCTTACTGTTCTACCACTTTTGGAAGAGTATCCTACTCTGATTGTGGATTTTTTTTTGGAAAGCCTATCAGTTTTTGCTATATTTTTGGCAAAATTATTAGTTGCAATACAAACTTAGAATTAGTTTATATTCCTTTGAATTGAATGTTGTCATTAAGAAGTTTCTGTCTTCATCTCTAGTAATGGTTTTCTGGAGGAGGGGCACAAAGTCTATCTTGTCTATTTTTAATATAGCTCTACCAGTTTTCTTTTGGCTAGTGTTTGTGTGGTATATCTTTTGCTAACTCTTTACTCTCAGCCTCCCCTGTTCATATGTTTTGGATGTCTTCTTATAAATTACAGCTAAGTCTTTTAAATAGTTTTTTAAATTAAATCTTACGATCTTTGTCTTTTGATTGGATCATTATTCATTACATTTAATATAGCAACTGCTGTTAGGTTTTAGTCGGCTGTCTTCTTACTTTCTAGTTGTATTGGACCTTCAAGCTCATTGTTTTTAATATCCTATTTTTCTTCTCAAATTAGTTTTACAGTCATTTGTACTTAAATAGTTAACACATGCATTCCTAACATGAATGTTAGCATTAATTCCAACTTTTACCCTCAGTACACATGTTAGCTCTATTTACTCCTCAGTTTATATGCCATTGTTATTATTATTAATATATAATATGTAGATGTTATCCCTTTCAGAACCACTGTAAAGTTTGTTTCATCCAGTTTTATTCTTTTTATTCATATATATTTTCATAAATATGTTTTATTCATTTAGATTTATCCACATTCTCTTTTTATTGCATTTTATTGCTTCCTAAATCTCTGACCAGGAAAAATTTCCCTTCTCTCTAAAGAATAAGTTTTAATATTTCTCTTAGCTCAGGTCTCCTGGTAACAAATTTTCTCATCTGAAAATGTCTGTATTTTGCTTTCATTTTAGAAGTATTTTATTTCTGGGTGTCAAATTCTACACTGGCAGCCCTCTGCACATGAATCTTTTGTTCCATTGTTTCTTGGCTTCCATTATTTCTTTGAGAAGTCATAGAAAGTCATGTGGTTGCTCCTTTGTAGGAGATATGTCTTTTTTCTTCTGGCTGCTTTTAAGATTTTTCTGATTATCTTTGGTTTTCAGCAGTTTTACCTGTAATATACTTCATATTTATCCTTGTTTTTCTTTGTGCTTCTTAAATCTAGGGATTGATATATTTCACCCATTTTGGCTAAATTCTCAGCCACTCTTTCCTCAAATATTGTTTCTTCCTCCCATCTTTTTTTTTCCCCTCTTTTTTTTTTCCTGCATCTCCAGTCGTTCATTGGATAACCTATTCATTGTATTTTCTCTTTCTTATCCTGTCTTCTGATTTATCCATTCTTTTATGTCTTCATAGTTTGTTCTAGATATTTTCTTCTGATTTTTCTTCCAGTTTTCTCTTTAGCTGTGTCCATTCTGTCCAACCCATATACTCTGAGTTTTTAATTTGAGTTTTTTTATTTTTAAATCCCATTACTTTGGCTTTTGATACCATGATTATCTCGATATTGATATATTACATGAACCTTTGTTAAAGTGAGTTCTGCCTGTAACTGGATCCTGTGGCTTGAACCTTAAGGGCAGTATTAAAACAATCCCAGCAACTTGAGACCAAGACCTGGATTTGTGGCTAACTTTGTAACCCTGGAAGAATATCTCTGGTGCTGTAAGCCTCAGTATCCTCATCTGTCACATTAAAGCATCTGAGTATGCGGTACCTCTCCCTCTTGTTCCCCTCACATATGGAAAGAGTTCTTAAAACTGATAAGCAAAAAGCAAATGCATTTCTCCTTTAAATTCTTTAACATTATTGGAATCTTCTCACATTAAATCAAAATTGCTGTGTGGAGATGTGTAAGGGAATTCCTTAATGTTAAAAAGTTCTTATAAATATGCACAATGCTACAACTTTGCCATAGGCTCTTGTTAACATTGATAGCTGAACTCATTAGTAACCTGATAAATGTGAAACAATTGTTTCTCAAAGAAATAATAATAACAAAAAAGGAAGGAAGGAAGGGAAAGGAAGAAGGACAAAAGCAAAGAAAAGGAGAAGAAAAAAAAAAGGAACAGAAGTCCTGATTTGTAACAGATGCTGACTTCTGTGGTAGAACCACTCCCACCGTGACTGATTCAGGCCAACACCATGACATCAATGAACATGGAGATGAGAAGAGATGGGCACAACTGGTTGCCACTGGCTGTACTAGTATGTCCCTTCTAACCTATTTCTGATTTTTTGGGAAAAGGTCCAGGTTGTGCATTATAATTATGTTTTGTAGCCAATTGAAAGATTTCTGTAGGTATGATTTGGTGATTTGGTTATTTTTGTAGACAAATTATTCAGAATATAAAAGTTATTTTTTTCATTTTTCTTTTCTTTTCTTTTCTTTTTTTTATTGAGACTGAGTCTCACTCTGTTGCCCACGCTGGAGTGCAGTGGTACAACCTTGACTCACTGCAACCTCCACCTCCTGGTTTCAAGTGATTCTCTTGCCTCAGCCTCCTGAGTAGCTGGGATTACAGGTGCATGCCACCACGCCCAGCTACTTTTTGTATTTTTAGGAGAGATGGGGTTTCGCTATGTTGGCCAGGTTGGACTCGAACTCCTGACCTCATGATCCACCTGCCTTGGCCTCCCAAAGTGTTAGGATTACAGGTGTGAGCTACCACGCCCAGCCTATAAAAGTTATTTTTAACTGCCATTTTTTAGGGCTCTCTTACAGGAATGTCTTTGTTTCTGCTGGTAAGTTTGGTGTGCACAAAGATTTGTGGCCCTTTGTAGTATATTTATAAGCTATGTGTTCCAAAGGAAAGTGAAATAAGTGATGGTCATTGGAAATGTCCGTGATGCTGCCCTATACTGATGTTTGTTTGTAGTTAAAGGGAGTTTTCTCTTTTCCTTTCAGGCATTTTTGTTGCCTTCCTGTGAGATAGCTGTAACAAGAAAAGTAGTTCAAGTGTACAGAAAGTGGATTCTCCAGGACAAACCTGTGTTCATGGAGGAGCCAGATAGAAAAGATGTTGCCCAAGAAGATGCTGAAAAATTAGGATTTTCTGAGACTGATAGCAAGGAGGTAATTTTTTTCACTTGTCTTTTGAGTTGAGGGTAAATATATTTCAGTAAAGTATACTTGCTCAGTCAAGAGTCTTGTCAATGGGACAAAGACTTCCTTTTATCCCATCTGATACTTCTGAGTTGCCAGGTTCTGTGAGGGTCTGCCTTAGAGAGTAGCTTCTGTACTCCCATTCTAGATTGGCAGTCATCTCCTACAACTCTACCCAGGGCCATCTGCGTGTTGCATCTTTGTTAGTCTCTATCGCAGGAGAGTTGTTTAATAAACCATCATATTTTACATGTCTCTTTGTGAGACTAAAAAAATCACTGCCTTCTCCTTGGCTTGTTTAAATAAATATCATTTGGAGAAACTAAATTGAGAATGTTTGGGCAGACTTTTCTTATGCAGTGGCCTGTACCAGAAGCAGCTAGATGTTACTCCTGTGAAAGAACTAACCAAACAGCAGTGTCCCTCTCCTTTAAGCCTCGCTGAGTGCTGGCCTCGTGGAGGGACCGCTGCCCATGTTAGATAAAGCTATAGGTTGGATAAATCCAAAATGACAGAGTGGAATATCTTCCTGAAACGAAAGAAACTTAAGCGATATTTATATTTCTGGCATACTATTATGAAATTAATTTAAAATGTTTAAAGTTTCTCACTAGAGGCATATCACTTTAAAATATCTGTGTTAATTCCATAATTTTAATTTTTCAGTATTGGTGAAATCATTTTAATAACTACCATGAGATCTAAATGAATATGCTATGTATCATTTATCACTTATTTTAAAGCAAATTATCACCCATTTTAAAGGTCTGTATTCCATGCTCACTCAGTCATTGGACAAACAGAACTCATTCTTTCAGCACATACTAAGTGCTGAGCACTATTTTAGGTGTTGATCATTGAGTGGGGAGCACTCTACCTCCTAGAACCTATTTTCATGTGAATCCTGGTGAGTTTAAGGAATTAAATATGCCAACTAAATATACTTAGTTTATATAATATAATTATATTTATAGTTAAATGTAAGTTAAACATGTGCATCTTCTACTCTGTTAATGGATCATTATCTTCTGAAGGCCTCGTCTGAAAGTTCTGGTCATAAACGATCTTCCAGTTGGGGACGCACGTACTCCTTCACAAGTGCAATGAGCAGAGGGTGTGTGACAGAGGAGGAAAATACAAATGTGAAAGCTGGCGTCCAGGCTTTGTTGCAGGTATGTGGCTGGCCAGAGCATGAAGACCCTTCCACTGCCTACAGCTGGAGCCATTTTGTCTTTTTATTTATTGGGGATAATGTCATATAAATATGGTGGTATTTGTAGCCATCTGTTAGTAAACAATAAACAGCAGTTTAATTAGTTATTAAATTCTTATTCTGACTTCTCTTTCTAATTCCTACCCACAATTTACAAAAATTTTTTTCTAGTCAAAGAAGACATAAGAACTGATTGCAGTCTTTTTGAGATTATTATATAGTGAATGTGAAATGACTGAGATTTAAATCTTTAAATTATCTTCCAAACACACATGAATAGTTATCTGGGCTCTTAATTTGCAAGACAAGCTTGGTGATTATAAAATCTTGTAAGTAATATTCCTCTTAAAATTGGCTGTGTTTACAAAGAAAAATGACTGATGTAGTTTTTAGATTTTTTTTTTTATTATACTTTATGTTCTAGGGTACATGTGCACAACATGCAGGTTTGTTACATATGTATACATGTGCCATGTTGGTGTGCTGTACCCATTAACTTGTCATTTACATTAGGTATATCTCCTAATGCTACCCCTCCCCTCTCTTCCCACCTCACAACAGGCCCCGGTGTGTGATGTTCCCCTTCCTGTGTCCAAGTGTTCTCACTGTTCAATTCCCACCTATGAGTGAGAACATGCAGTGTTTGGTTTTCTGTTCTTGCGGTAGTTTGCTGAGAATGATGGTTTCCAGCTGCATCCATGTGCCTACAAAGGACATGAACTCATCCTTTTTTATGGCTGCATAGTATTCCATGGTGTATATGTGTCACATTTTCTTAATCCAGTCTATCATTGATGGACATTTGGGTTGGTTACAAGTCTTTGCTGTTGTGAATAGTGCCGCAATAAACATACGTGTGCATGTGTCTTTATAGCAGCATGATTTATAATCCTTTGGGTATATACCGAGTAATGGGATGGCTAGGTCAAATGGTATTTCTAGTTCTAGATCCTTGAGGAATTGCCACACTGTTTTGAATGAATATATGAAATAGAACTGACACCATTTGAGAACATTTGAAAGAGCAACTTTGGATCTTTACTTAACCTCCCCAGAGCTCAGGATTTTACCTCAAAAATGGGAATTGGGAGATTTCCTCTCAGGTCTCATGTAGCTTGAAGAGTAAGTGAAAATACAGGGTGCCTCTCATTCCCCGCTCACTGTGCCCTCACCCACCACCCTTCATCCACGTTTGGAGATGTGTCACTTAGGCCTCCCATGTAGAGGCCAGGTGTGGAGTCTGGGGAAAGTCTGGGAATGACACGCATGTTTCTAATTTTCTGTCATCTGTTTCTTGATAGGATTCGTTTTCGTGGTATCCTTTTTGTTTTCAAGTGAATTAGCAGTTTAATATACCATACTGATGAATTTTCTCACTTTTCATTGAAAACCCACACGTAATTTTGAAGTTAACTTAAAAAAGTTGAGATGATTTCACTTGTGCATCTTTTGGTGTAGCTCATAAATATGACCTGCATCCCCATCAGAGAAACTCTTGCAGGAGTCCTTGCCCTTTGTCCCTCAGTAGCTCCATCTTTTAGCTAAGGGGATCTCCAGCAACAGTCTGTGGTGGTTGCAGGTGCCAGTGATCTCCTGGGTTCAAAAGAGTGCTTTTTATTTTCTGAAAGGATGAGTTACATCCACAGTAAGTCCTCACTAATGTCATCAATGGGTTCTCAGAAATGGTGACTTTAAATGAAGTGAGTACAGCAGGTCTTTGAGTAACATGGTTTGATTCAACATCATTTCATCATAATGCATCATTTCATCATAATGTTCATGAGAAAATAATTTTCTTTTATATTTTGCTTAAAGTCATCATTTCCAACAACCTATCAATGACGTTAAATGAGGACTTACTGTCCTTGCCTGAACTGAGAAAAAACAATTTCTGTTTTATTATATATAGTCCTACAGTTAAAAAAAGTATTTACTTTGGATTTAAATAGTTAGTTTTGTTCTTGTATCTAATACCTTGGTCCTCTACTTTGTTTATTAAGAAAAAGGGCCAAATGGAGGTTTGATAAGATAGTAATTTTCTTTCTTTTCTCCAACTGTGTCTCAGATGTTCAAGAGATAGTAGTTTTCTATAGTTGCTTTTGACAAGTGCACTCTGGACATACTAATTTAGTTTATTTTTACCTTAACTGATACCAGCACATTAATAAGAAATACTCATGCAGTACCTTTGATGTTTTGTAAAAAGTAAAAGTATATAAAGACTCCTTACATGGGAATGTGCAAAAAGTTTTTAATTCGTATTCAAGAAGCCAAATATATTGAATTAAAAGGATCTGTGTTGCAGTATATCATCTGTGGCGTACTTCTTTCAAAAACAGAACCACTAAAACTGCTGTAATCAAAAAGCTCTTTGTTTTTGTTTTTCTTACTCAAAGACTAGTAAATTCTTCATGACTGAAGTTATCATCATCAACTATATTATAGTGCTTATTTAGTGATTTTTCTTAGAAAATTGGGACATAATACCTTTTAATCTTACCTAAGATAACTTTAAAGGCTGTGAATATTTTAGTTCACCCACTTGACTTTTGATGTGAATTTTAATTTGGTCAGATTGTACATTTATTTTGATACAACACTTTAAAGAATTTTATTTATAAATGAGCTAGAGAAGCTCCTTCATCCTTTGAGTTTGTGTTGTTGAACACAAAGGAGATGTAAGAGGGAATGTACTAAGTATATGGAGCAGGTCCGTCCTCATACCAGATTGACAACTCAGAATATCTGCAGATGATGGGACACTGGTGTCAACTGTATAAATGGAAACGCACCATTATTTTGCTGTAGTGACTCAAAGCAGTAATAGTATGTGATATCCTGGATCAGCGCTTCTCACATTTTTCTGCTGAGATACCCCTGATGGTAGAGAACAGTGAACTTGTATGCTAAAGGTCTGAGGCAGAGGGTAGAGTAGTTGGCTGATTTTCTGAATTGTTTTTGAAATCTCAGCTTTTAACCTTAAGAATTCACTTAGATTTTGTATGCTACTGCATAATATATCTTTCATATTTAAAAACATAGGCTCCTGGAAGACGTGTGATGTCAATGGCTTCATCTGTTTCTGGGCACATCACAGCTACTTGAGGTTCTTATGCCTGTTGAGTGGTGCTGTCCATTGCTCCTGTCAGCAAGGAGTTCATGCTCTGGGAGACTCAATAAGAATCACATAGTTCTGTCTGACCACTGTCTGGCCATCTGTCCTCTTCTCCTCACATTTCCCCACTAAAGTTTCTCATTCGTATGCAACAATCCTACTTTTTCCCCTTGTTTTCCTTTTTTTGTTGAGGGGTTGTGGAAAAGAAGTCTTCAAAAGCTTTTCTGACTCATAAAATTTCTGTAGTTGCAATATTAATATGTAATAGTGATTTTTTTCTTTTCCCCTAGGGAAAGGCTTTTCAGGTGTCTCAGTATTTAAGTGATTCTAAAGGGTGAACTAAAAAAAATTTTGCATATGTGTTGGTACCACTTGCCTTAATGAATTTTTGCCTTATTGTGAATTTATATGTTGGTACCACTTGCCTTATTGAAATCGAATCTTTTGGAAATAACTAAAAAGTGATTTCATTGGTAGAGTGAAATTAATATCATCTTTAAGCAAAATTTATTCAAATGTTTATGTTCAGTTATATTTTCTAATGTAAAATTGTTGATTTTAAGGTATTTTTGACGAATTCTGCAAACGTCTTTTTGTTGGAACCATGTGCTGAAGTTCCCGTGCTCTTGAAAGAACAAGTTGATGCTTGTAAAGCTGTTTTGATTATTTTTAGGCGCATGATAATGGAGCTTACAATGAATAAAAAGACATGGTGAGTTTCTATCAAATTAATTAGTATTGTAAAACAGATGTTTCTGTTTTTCAACATCATTTAAATGTTAAGGCTTGCATTTGTTTAATGTTTTTACAAAGTTAACGACAAAATGTCTTTTGTAACAGTTTCTGTGAATTATGAAGAAGGTAGTTATCCAGTACTTTGATAGATCAATTATTTTCATTCTATTTTTTAAAAATGTCCTTGAACAATAAGTATTTTACTTAATAGTGGATTTTTCCTTTTAAACTTTCATCAAACATAGTTTTGTGGAAAAGCAGCAACTGGTGTCTTATAATATTCATCATAAGCTCAGGAGAGTTTGTTAATTGCCCTGAAATGCTGTCAACTGATTTTTATTGCTTCTAACTTGATGTTTTAAATTCATTTTGGAAAAACAATTATTTTAAATGATAAATTATCAGAGACTAAATACATAGTGCAGTCAAAAATCTGATCCTGTTATTAAAACTACAACAACATTTTTTTCCTTTTCATCTTTGTTTTTATTTGATGTTTTTATTTATAATGTCCCTATAGGTAAACAATGCATTAGATTTTTTTTTTCCTGCTCTTCTCTTTTTTTCCTGCTTTTCTCTTATTTGAAAGTCATCAGCTGGGTGCGGTAGCTCACGCCTGTAATCCCAGCACTTTGGGAGGCTGAGGTGGGTGGATCACCTGAGGTCAGGAGTTCGAGACCAGCCTGCCTAACATGGCGAAACTCCATCTCTCCTAAAAATACAAAAAAATTATCCAGGTGTGGTGGCAGGTGCCTGTGATCCTAGCTACTCGAGAAGCTGAGACAGGAGAATCACTTGAACCCGGAAGGCGGAGGTTGCAATGAGATTGCGCTACTGCTCTCCAGCCTAGGTGACAGAGTGAGACTTTGTCTCAAAAAAAAAAAAAAAAAAGTCCTCACTTTACTCCATCTGATGAGGTATTTTCAGTGATGCTCAGCAACAGACCAGAAAGCCTCAGAGTCACTTTCCATTTCTTCCTCTTCTCCTCATGTGTCATCAGCCTCTCACTTCTGCCTTTAAAATGCTCCTCAAGCCTGTCCTTTGCATGTTCCCTCTCATTCCACCGCCGCCCTTGTGCAATCAAGCTGCCCACCCCAGCATCTCCCTAGGTGATCTTCTGCCTTGGTTCTCAGTCCTTGGAGGCCCTGCAGACCAGTGGCACCTTTCCTACCTGAAACCAGAGGGGTCCTCTGCCCATGTCTGCGTTCTGGAGGCCCTTGAGTCAGCAGGAAAGGGGCTTTGGAAAGTGTCTGCAGTTGGTAGGAAAGCGTGGACACGAGGTCTGATCAGAAAGGAACTGCAGGCCACCAAGTCCAATTCTTTTGCTTCAAAGATGAGGGAAGGGTGGACTCAAGAATCCTGGTGTGTAGAAAGTTCACAAGTACAGAAACCACAGGCATCAAAATGATATTATGATGTAGATTCCAACATCATCTTTCCCAGACTTCTAAACTTAGCACTATTTGCCAAGTTAAGAAATTGTTAAAACTAGAAATATTACAGTGATGCACAATATGATGTAAACAAAGTTAAATTCCACGTCAGTAATATTGACAATAATGAGAAATGCTGGTATATGCTTTCAATTAAAATACCTGTTCCTGAATACCATAGTTTTATCAACATCATTTAAAATGTTTTTCTCCTTTGAAAACTTCCTGAGTTTTGTATACTACTGTATCAGCAATTTTTTTATATTTTTTGATAATCTTTTTATTTTGATGAAAATTCTAGGAAGTAAAATTAAGCAATTCTGTTCTGACTTTTACAAATTCATAGATTCCTAGGTGAAAGTATAGAAAAGAAAAATTGTAGAAATCGATGAAAATAGTTAACGGGAAAATGGTCAATAGAGCATAGAAAGGAATGTGAGCAGTTTCTCTAACAGATTTTCTTGTGTATTTAAGTACCAGATAATCCCTTGCCTCCCATCCCTCCTTTCCTTCCTCACTCCTTCTTCTCCCGTCTCTCCTTACCTCCTTTTCTTCCATCTAATAAATAACTATCGAGCGTCTACTGTGAGAATATAGTGGCGAACTATGTAGACAAGGTCCCTGCCCTCATGAGGTTACATCCTCATAGGACCGAGAAACATTAAAAACCTAGAAACAATTTCAGAGAGTCTGAAGTACTGAGAAGAACAGTGAAGGTTGGAAAGGGAAAAGAGTCCTGAATTGGGTGTGTGTTGCTTGGCATGGATAGAGGGAGAGTTATTTCCGTCAGCTGTCAGAGAAAGCCTTCCTGAGCAGAGCCCTGAGTAAAGGGAAGGAGGAGCCTTGGGGAGGTCTAAGGGAAGGGCATTCCTGGTAGAAAGAGCAGCAGATGCAAAAGCCCTGATGGGAGAAAAGGTTAAAAAAAAAAAAAAAAGTGGCTTGTTTAAGGAAGGACAAGATGATGGCCAGTGTGGTGGAGTGGATGGAGTGAGAGGGGAGGAGGCAGGGGGCAGGCCAGGGCCAGGTTTCTTGGGGTCCTGCAGACCAAAGGAAGGACACCAGCTACCTCCTTGTGTGTCTGCAAGATTGTGACATAATACAATTTATGCTTCTGAAAGGCCCCTGTGGCTGCTGGAGAACATGCATACAGTGCCATAAATGATGGTGGCTGAGACCGGGGCTGTAGCCAGGGAACTGTAAGAAGTGGTCCTGAAACAGGGAATAACTGGTATGTAAATGAGTTGAAATGGCACCTGTATGAAGAGATGGAGATCAGGTAAATAATGAAGAATGTAGAAAAACCCTGACTCCTGTGTCGGACCCAGGGATGACACACATGCCTGATTCGATGTACTCCAACAGAAGTTTATTACACTCTTTGAGCAGTTCTCCTTGGAGAAGTCAGTGCTTCACAAAATAGAAAGGAACAAGCAGTTGTCAAAACTGGCAGCTTTGGCAGGTTGTGCATCTTTCTACTGTTAGGAAAGATTTTTCCAAACCGTAGTTTTTCCACCCTTGTTTTCTTCCAGAAGACTCTGCATGCCTTTCTAAGCTTTCATAGGTTCAGCAATCAGATTGACTGTGTTTTTGTCAGTCATTGCTTTGATCACATTTGTAGCTTTTGATAGCAGTTGCCATGATCAAGGCTTTACTTGAAACTTATGATATCTGTTGTTCTCATCACATTCTCATGATGGGTCTGTAACTAGTTGTGTGCAAGGGATTGTTTTTCATTGTCTTATGCATCATGTAACAGGAACGGGCAGTGGTGATCCCTTCTCTTCCCTGGCGACAGGGACCTGGGTACCCTGAATGTGGTGAGCGACAAGCTGTCCCCCAGCACTGTGCCATTTCTTCTCCCAGTTCTCTTCAAAGTCACCATTGTACTTCATGCGTGTGTGCCCAGAAGATAGTCCTTTCTCTTCTGTGCTTCCAGAATCCATAGGCAGAGAATAGGAATACATGGGCAAGTAGCATGGAGTGCAGTGAGAATGTATACCAACAGATGACTCTGGGGACCAAAATCAAATGGGGCCAGCTACAAAGAGGGCAGGAAATCCCCACAGGTGATTTTACTGTGAGGAATTTTATGAGGTTCAGCATATTGTTAGGAGAAAATGCTATTCTGATATGCAGAGATATGAGAAAAGTATACAGGAACTATGATTTAGAGATCTCATCTGATTACTTTGTCCTATTCTCAGTTTTATTACTAAAGAGCAGTAAAGCCAAGGAGAAGGTAGTAAAGATTAGATGAATGGTTAGCATGTGAAACCTGAAAGGAACCGGAGTGATTTCCCTCAAGGAACAAATGCACCTCTGTTACATAACGTGTTCTGTGTTCCCATGGAATCTAGGGGAAGAAAAAGTGAGCAGATACTCTGATATGAGCAATATAACTTAGGTATAAGGAAGAAAAATGTCTTTTGGCTGTTCTGAATAACTTATTATTGTAATTAGCAGTGTTAGGCTGTCTCTATGCTGTTTTATAGACTTCAAAGTCCTTTTACGTAAAACCTTCTGTGAGAGACTATAACAAATGCTGGCACATTGGAACTGAGCTGCAGTGATGGCATTTGTCTCAATTGTGCCCTGTAGCGCAGAGTCAGGATCTTCTAGGCGTGAGCACTGTGCCTGTAAGTGTCCTGTAATGCAAACCCCTCCTGCCTGTGAGTACTGTGGCATTCCACCATACCAAGATACTGACTGTGTGTGTCCCCAAAATAAAGGGCAGAAAGTCAACTTAACTTCCTGTTGCAAAGATAGGGAGACCTTACAGGTCAAGTAAAACAGTGGATAGCAAAATTAAAGAGTGCTGCATACGTTCCAGTAGGTTTTCACTGAGTGCCTTTAAGGTGTTGGCACAGTTGGAGAAGACAGTCTTGCCTCTCTTTTTGCAAGGGAAGAAAATTAGGCTGGAATGTTATGTTTTATCCTGCCTGTTTGTGTGGACATGGGAGGCATATTTTTAAAACCGTTGTAACATAAGGGAGCTTATTTTGGTAAAATATGATATTCATTATGTAATTGGCATCTGGACTTTAATAGTTTCGAGTAATACGTAATTATCAATGTTGCTGAATTCTTAAGAGAATTTCTGGTACCTATAAGTTAAAGTACTTTGGAGACATGATTATTAATATGAGCTTTTATTTTGGGTGGCCCAGGGAACAGATGTTGCAAATACTACTCAGGATAACAGAAGCTGTCATGCAGAAGCCAAAGGATAAACAAATAAAGGACTTGTTTGCCCAGAGCTTGGCAGGGTTACTATTTAGGGTAAGTCTTTTTTATTAAAACACTGCAAATGCAAGAAGTCAATCAGATTTTATAGCAAACTAGTTTTAATCATTGAGAATTTTAAGAATAATGTTAAATTTAAATTTCTAGAAATTTTTCTTCTTAGCTTTGTCCTGAAGGTTATGATCTATTCTTTACAATTAGTGCTGGGCTTTTAGGCTTTTCTCCCTTTCTACCACCTCCTTCCTCTTTTGATTTGCTCAAGGGTGGTAGGAATTAGGAAGCTCTGATTGGCTTGGTGGAAGGCTAGGTAGATTTGGAGAGGTAAAGAATGAACGGAAGCATGGGAATGGGATAAAAATTTGAGAGCCATCAGTGTGTTGGGAAATTGTATTTCAAGCCACAGAATGGGCTTACCTAGAGAGGACAGTGTCCACAGGTGATGGAAGAGATGCTGAGAAAGGGTGACCACGCCGCGAGGAGGAAAACCAGAGGAGTGTGTGTCCTGGGTGCCTGGGGATGAGTAATTGGGTAGGAGGAGAGCAGCCAGTTGACCATGGGCTTTGACAGATGTAGTTGGTTGAGAATGTTCTATGGGATGAGGCCCACCTGGAGTAGATGGAGGAGAAGATGAGAGCTGGGCAGTGGAGGTTGCAAGCGTAGTTAAGGCTTTGCAGAGTTTGATGTGGAAAGGAAGAGGAAAAGGGGAGCTAGCTGAAGTCGGTGACATACATGGTGGGCGAGGTTTAAGGTGGGTGGTACTAAAGTATGTTTGCTCACCAATGGGATGGTCCAGTGAGGGAGGACAAGATGGTCTCGGGGAGACAGAGGATAACTGTAGAAGTGAAGTCCCGGATATGGTGGGGGGCTGGGCCGGTCTTTGGTGTGAGCAGAGAGCAAGGAGATGCCTGTGCTTCTTGCATCTCATGTGGTGAGCAGGTGAAGACCAAGAGCAGGCTGATACCTGGTGAGCTGCCTGGGGAAGAGGATGTGCCAGAGGGTCCTGAGCATGGCAGCCTACTCTGACATTGCTAATATTTATGAGGACCTTAGAGTTTATGAAGCATTACTGAAAGAGAAGAGTGTGAAAGGGCTCTGGAAAAATGCGACATTCTACATAAATAAAGGTATTAGTACAGTGGGTGGACTTGACTTTGGATAATTACATAGGTGATTCTTTTGCATATGTCCAGCTTTGCTCTGCTGATGCCTGGAGGGTGGTACTGACCACTGCTTTGCTGCCTGCCTGGACGTATGGACACTGCACACTTTGCCCTCTCAGCGAAGTGTCTCACTCTTGGCACCCTTTTGAGCTCCGTGTCCTGGACCTTGGCTGCCAAGTGGACATGAGCTGAAGCCAGTCTCACGCTGGCAGGTGCTTAGACCTTATTCTCACCAATTGCCTGGCTCTGCATCTGTTTTGTGTGTTGGAATTAGAGAACTTGTCACAGAATTAAACAAGTATCTATTCTGGGGTTTGGGGTCTTTTTTTCTTTTTTTTTGGTTGGTTTTGGTCTTTGGGGGGGAAAAAAAACTCCCCCCATGTAATGGAGAAAACCTTCTCAGATATTACTGCCCTCCTCAGTTGGCCTGACTTCCCCGAAGCTCAGTTGACCTGACTTCCCTGTAGCTTAATTCTGAGTTCATGATTATTAATGATTTTGATATTGTTATTATTTTGGCAGTTTTTAGGTAGATCAAGAAGGATGCTTAAGTTAAGAAGTAACCATATGGCTGGGCATGGTGTCTTACACCTGTAATCCCAGCACTTTGGGAGGCTGAGGCAGGAGGATTGCTTGAGCCCAAGAATTCAAAACCAGCCTGGGCAATAGAGTGAGACCCTGTCTCTACAAAAAATTAAAAAAAAATTAGCCGGCCATAGTGGCATGCACCTGAAGTTTCAGTTACTTGTGAGCTGAAGTGGGAAGATTGCTTGAACCTGGGAGGTTGAGGCTATCAGCGAGCTATGATTGCACCCCTGTACTGCAGCCTAGTCAAAAGAGCAAGACCCTGTCTCAAAAAAAAAAAAAAAAAAAAAAAAAAAAACCTACCATAAAAAATAGTGAAGAGAGGATGAGCTTTTTGGTGTTAGGCAGATTGTGGTTCTGATCTCAGCTCTGCTACTCCCTGGCTATGTGGCCATGAGCACATGACTTTAGCTTTCTGAGTGTCTTCCCTAATCTGTCACAATCAGGAAAGGACTTCTTCCTACCCTGCAGGGTTGTCATGAGAATCAGAGTGGTCCCATTGGGATTTGTGATCTTCTGTTGACCTCCCACATTCTTATGGGAGGTGCAAGAGGCAAGAATAGTAAGGGTCCGGACTTACCAGGCTATCTGGTGTCTGATATCTGTTGGGCATCATCGTGGTCCCATACTGTCATTAAGATGTGCTGTTTAATTAGTATTCATTTGATCATGTGGACTGTCTAAAATGGCCAATTGATTTTTTTTGAAAAATTTAGAACAAGGAGACTTAAAAAAGACAGGACATTTTTAAGTTTTTATTACCCTTTTTATCTTTTTCTAGTTCTTCTTGTGTTTATTTTATCTGTCAGTAGATAACCTGGGCCACCAAATTTTCTTTAAGTGATGATTGAATTTGACTTAGTTTTAAATATTTACCAAATAATGATGATCGCCTTATTGCCCTAAGTGATGTTTTAATTTGTTATCAGTGCTAAATATGACCTTATGCTTGACGTTCTGATGGTATATCAGGAAACTATGGTCCTGCTCTTTGTAATATGAGCCATTAAAGTTATGTCGTCCCCTTTAATGTGCTGATAGAGTGAAGTAGGAAGTGGTTGGTTAGCAAATGTTCCTAAGAAAAGGAGTGATTTATTAGCTAAGGTGTTTTTAAAATACATCATGTGTACCAAAATGTATCTGATAAAACATCAAATTTCAGTGCTGAAGGAACCTTGGAGAAGCTCCTATGCAACTCTTATTTTTAATGAGAAATGTGACTACAGAAAGGCCAAATAACTTTCCTAGGTCACAAACCAGGGTAGTCTAGGCTGTTTGTTTCCATGTTCCTTTTAGAAAATGGTAATTGATCAGAAGGACACCCTGCCTTCATGTCCACAGGTGCCACCACTCACCACCCAACTGTATTTTACAAGTTTACCATTTTGCTCTGTGCAAGTGTTGTCAGTTGTGAATTACGATGATAATTCAACAGGTCTGCATACATTTGTAATATTTGCTAAGTTGATTTTATAAACTGCAAGAAGTCATTCTGCACTTGTTTCATAATTAGTTAATAAAGTGAAGCCATTTTAAGATCCCCAGTATAGAGCATCTCATTACACCAAGACATCTGCTGTTATCCATGAAACTGACACTATATCCGAATGTGAGTCTGAGTCCTGATAACATTATCAGTCTCTACTTTCTTACTCGGCTCAGATTATACTTATTGATCTAATATTTAATTTTATTGTCTATAGGTATTTTATGGCAATGTCCTCAAATTCATCTTGAAAGCAGGGGTATAAAAATTAATAGAAGATGACATCGTAGTCATAATAAAAATATTTAATAAAGATAATAAAATTATTTTATTTTCTTTCATATTTTTAGTTTTACAAAATTCATACATGTTAGAATCAGATTTTAAATATAAGTGGTTAATATCTTGTTTTTTATATAATTAACTACTTTAGTCCTACTTTAACATTTTTATTTTTTTAAAAAGTGGTAGCAGCCGGGCACGGTGGCTCACACCTGTAATCCCAGCACTTTGGGAGACCGAGGCGTGCAGATCATGAGGTCAGGAGATTGAGACCATCCTGGCTACCATGGTGAATCCCCATCTCTACTAAAAATACAAATAAATAAATAAATAAAATAAAATTAGCCAGGCATTGTGGCGGGCACCTGTAGTCTCAGCTACTTGGGAGGCTGAGGCAGGAGAATGGCGTGAACCCGGGAGGCGGAGCTTGCAGTGAGCCAAGATCGCGCCACAGCACTCCAGCCTGAGCGACAGAGTGGGACTCCGTCTCAAAAAAAAAGTGGTAAACACAAATCGAAACAGAGAACACATGTGTTACAGAAGGACCACTTTAAATAAGATTTTCCAAGTGGTCAGAACAGGCCTGCCTGATTTTACAGACTGATTTCTGTTTATCAAAGTTTTCCTGTGTCTATGTTAAAGAATAAATTCCATTTAAAAAATCTATATATAATTTGGGGGAAAAAATTAAGAAGTGAACTCACCTACACAAAGAAGAATTCCTGACAAGAGTGGGAGCCTATTTGCATCTGGGTTGGGCCTATGCAAATACAAGCTGGCATCTTAACAAGTGCGTTTATCGTTGACAACTGACTACAGGACTTACACAGACTTTGGGTATAAGGATTCCTTTTCACAAGCTTAGGAAAGCATTTTGTGGCTCATTTGAGATGCACTTGGCTATGTAGAGGCACTTCTTTCAGGGAAGATATATTTGGATTTGAATTTTAAAGGATGGTGAATATTTTGGCAGAGGTAAGGAATGGGGCAATTTTAAGGGAAGGAAATATCCAGGATATAGGCATAATTGTCTCATAGGGCTGTCCATGTGACCAGTTGTAATGCTGTGGATTGTAAGACTTGGGGCAGACACTGATAAGTGAATAGACTGTGAAGGAAAGGTGTGATAGGTGTATTGATGGAGGGGAAATGCAGGGACCTGGAGGACACTTCCTGGCGACTGGGAGGTGGTGGTGGGGAGATAGTCAAGGATACCTTCTTGGAGGAAGTGATGTACAAATTTTGACCTGAGAAATGATGGAGAGTTATACAGAAACAAAAAGGAGGAAAGAGAGGGAAGGAAGAGTATGTGCAAAGGCCAGCTGCAGGAGCGAGCAGGTAGAGGAACTGGGAGAACGTCAGTGGAAGAAATTGAATACCTTTTACTATTATGCTGTAGGATAGGTGCCTGAGGGTTGTGTAAGTAGCACTGTCTAGTACCTAGGTAGATAGATCAGGAAACCAGTAAAGAGGTCTAAACTGGACATGGAGATTCAGAAGTCAGCAGCACACAGAGGATAACTGGAGCCATGGGAATGGAGCCAAAACCCAGGCAGAAGGTGGAAGTGACCTCAGAAAGGGAAGATCCAGAGCAGTCTGTTGCCTGGGGGATGAGGAAGTGGAGATGGAGTAGATGTGGAACATTCTTTCAAGAAGTTTGGCTGTTAAAGTGGAAGGAAAAAGACTGTAGCTAGATGGGGGAATCTGGGTTCAAGGGAATTGTTTCTTTCAAGATGAGGAAGAATTTGGAGCATATTTAAATGCTGAAGAGAAAGAGCTGGGGAAGTGGGGTTGGCTGGAGATTAAAGGAGAGGGGTGGTTGAGAGGCATGAAGGTCCAGAGCATAAGGGGGCACAAGGATAGTAGATCAGGGGCCCCTCTTGGAGTTCAACCCACGGGTGGAGGAGGAGCTGGGTGAATGTGGGCAAGAGTGTGAGTCCATGGGCAGAGGTTGAGGGGAGTCTCATTGAATGGGTTCTGTTTCTTGTGAAGTCTGCAGTCAATCTGTCTGCTCAAAGTCGGGGAGGATTTGGTGGGCTGGAGGTTTTCCTTTAGGAGGTTTGAAGTAGCCACTGTGGATGGAAGGAAAAGAGCAGTCTCAGGAAGCAGAGTGGTCACTGTGCAGAGGGGTTTGTCTTCTCCCTGATTATAGCCAGGGCCAGCCGCAGACCCTAGAATAGTATTGAATCAGTAACTTTGTTCATAATGATAACTAACTTCCCAGTAGCTTAAATCTTGATTATAGTTGGTCAAGTGGATTTTGAGAGTTAAAAGAAAAACAACTTCCAAAAGTACTTTTTATTTTAAAATTTGTGTTATTAATAGTCATTTAAAACATTTTGTTAAAAAGTATACTTCTTCAAATGAAGATGTATGAATTCTCTTGTTGGTTGGTTGGTTTTAGACGCTCATGGTGGCTTGGATCCGAGCAAACCTCTGTGTGTACATTTCTCGAGAGCTCTGGGATGACTTTCTTGGTGTGCTGTCCTCCCTCACGGAATGGGAGGAACTTATAAACGAGTGGGCCAACATTATGGACTCCTTGACAGCAGTGCTTGCTAGAACCGTTTATGGAGTTGAGATGACAAACCTACCTCTGGATAAATTAAGTGAACAAAAGGAAAAGAAGCAACGAGGCAAAGGTATTTCTACTTTTCCAGGTTAACACCAGATGTCTAGGTCGGGGGACGAGTGTGTATTTGTATGACTAAGCAATTAATGCATGAGATTTTGTAATGAACTGAACCAGCTACACAGTGTCTTCTTAATAGTGGCATTAATTCGTGTCTCATATCATTCTGTTCCCTTAATGAGATGGTGAATTTCTGAGGAGGCTATGCAAAAAGGAAGATGCAAGGAAGGTAGTAGTAATAGTAGTGATAACTAACAGTAATAATAATGGCTATTACATTGTACATATTATCTCTTTTTGCCTTCATAATAACCTAGTGAACTGTAGATACTTGTATAATCCCCATATCACAGAGAAATAAACTGAAGTATGAGACTTTGCAGAGATGTCCAATCCTTTGGCTTCCCCGGGCCACATTGGAAGAATTGTCTTGGAGCACACATAAAATACACTAAAACTAACGATAGCTTATGAGCTAAAACAAACAAACAAACAAAAAATAGCAAAAAAAAAAAAATTCTCATAATGTTTTAAGAAAGTTTACACATTTGTGTTGGACTGTACTCAAAGCCATTCTTGGCTGCATGTGGCCCATGGGTTGGGCCACGGGTTGGTCAAGGTTGCCTTGCAGTGATTGACTCATCTGAGCCCACATAGTTAAGAAGTGTTTATAAAATCAAAGCTGGATAAATACAACTCAAGATGTCATACAATTAAGATGCATTCTACAGCCTCTCTAGGAAACATGGAGAAATTCTGAATGCTTCAGATGGGAGCTATTTTGGCTTTGTTGTATTTCTGGGTAAAAATTGTTTTGGGACTGAGAACCTCAAATGAAAGTGATGTTTTCAAGGTAGAAAACATCAGTGGTAGTTTCTGTTAGGAATGACAATTTGGCATCCGCTTGTCTTAATTACCATTCTTAAGGATGTGGCATGGTCCTTAGATTAATTCACTTGTACTACACCATACTCTGTAAAGATTTGAGGCCGGGCACAGTGGCTCAAGCCTGTAATCCCAGCACTTTGGGAGGCCGAGACGGGCGGATCACGAGGTCAGGAGATCGAGACCATCCTGGCTAACATGGTGCAACCCTGTCTCTACTAAAAAATACAAAAAACTAGCTGGGCGAGGTGGCGGGCGCCTGTAGTCCCAGCTACTCGGGAGGCTGAGGCAGGAGAATGGCGTAAACCCGGGAGGTAGAGCTTGCAGTGAGCTGAGATCTGGCCACTGCACTCCAGCCTGGGTGACAGAGCAAGACTCCGTCTCAAAAAAAAAAAAAGAAGATTTGAGGCAGCTCATAAAAAGGCATATAGTACAGTAGATCAAATACAAAATAGGGTCAAAATGAGTGGGATTGCAGGGAACTGCCGTTGTGACTAAAATGCCAAAATACATGCCATAGAGTCTCATGGACTTGCTGGGGAGATGGAAAAGTCAAACATTGGATTTGATTTTGGTCTTTGCAGGGTTACATCAAATCAGGAATCACAGAGCACATAGGGTAAAAACAATTCAATCACTTAGGTGATGCTTAGCTTTATTAGGTCCTCCTGAGACTTGGGAGGAATTTTTTCCTTCAAAGCCCCATAAAGGGTACACATTGCTTATTGTGTAGACTACCCCTTTAATAATACCAGCCTTATTATAGATTGTATCAGTGTGCTTTTGCCATGTGACAAATCACCCCAAAACTGATGGCTTAAAATAACAACCACTTATTTATCTTGATTTGATGAGTTGGCAATTTGGATTGGACTCAGCCAGTCAGTTCTTCTGCTGGTCTTTGCTTCTGTGTTTGCAGTCAGCCAGGCTGTGAAGTAGTCAGCTAGGCAGCTCTACTTTTAGGGGTTGGCTGGCTGTAAGGGGGGGCAATGAGGTGCGACTGGGCCACGTGTTTCAGCAGCCAGAGGCTAGCTCAGGCTTGTTCACCAAGTGGCTTAGAGTTTCAGGAGCAGCAAGAGGGCAAGCTCAAATTTTCAAGTGCATTTCAAGTCTCTGCTTGTTCAGTTTTGCTACCAAAGTCAGTCACATGATGAAGCCTAATGTCAGTATGGGAGAGAACAACAGAGGATGTGGATACAGGGAGGTGTGAACCAGTTACGGTGGCTAGTAAACCATATACATGTGTAATAAATGTGATGGATTCTTACAATATCTTCATTGAAATCTGAGAATGGCTTGCCAAAGCACTAATTAATAAAAGCAAGTTAGTAAGAAGCCAAAATAAAGTAGTTGAAGTACATGGCAATCCAGTGGAACAGTTTAATCCCAATGTAGATTTAGACTGTCTAATGCAATGATTTTCTAACATTTTTTTAACAGATCCGTTTTTCTCCCCAGTTGAAAGTATACATAACCCCTTTCTAAAGAAATAGACCGGAGATTTGGGATTGAAGTGGGAGCAGGGAGCCAAGAGCCTGGGTCCTTGGCCTCCATCTAGTCCTCTCTAACAGCTCTGAGGACCTCTGTGTAAACCCAGGGCCTGAGAGGACCCAGATACTTCCAACTAGGAACTTGGCTCCCTAAGACAGTGGTTCTCAGCCCAGAAGAGAACTTACCTGGCTAAGAATACCTTTCAGGCTAGAGAAGGAGAGCTGAAATAGGATAAGGACCTACCTTCAATTGTAATCCATGCACGAGTGCACGTTTGTACATGCACGCGCGCACACACACACACACGCACACCTGCCATTCTGCAAGATTCTCTTCCTACCCACAAATTCATCTGAAGAGATAGACTTGTCTTGGGAAGGCAAACAACTTCAAAAACAGTGTTTTCAAAATGTACTGAACAAATTATTAAATTAATGACCATGACTAATGTTTCTGATTTATGTTGCTTTATTCTAAAAATGATTTAAATATTTATTGTAGAAACAGTTGCCTTCTAAGGGCTAGACTACTAGAAACAAAAAACACAGGCAGAGGAAACTGGGTGTGGAAACATGCCACAGGTGGCAGCCACTGGCCACATCATACCTGTACAGAAATCTCTAAGTCTGCCATTCTCTTTCCTCCTCTATTTCTTTTGGTCCATAGTCTCTCATTGAAATAATTAACCAGAACAATATGAGAAAAAAGAAAAGTTGAATCTCAGACTACAATGTTTTATTGTTTTGGACCTTTGCTAAAATAGGATTTTGTATTATTTATAGATTTTCATTATCCTGCCCATTTAACTGAATCCACATTAGAGTTTATAGGCATGGATTGCCCTGGGGATTTGTGGAGGGGTTGGTGTCTACAGGATACAGTACTATTCAAACATCAGGATCTCTGAGGTTTTGGCTTATAAGTAGTGGTTTTTGGAGTGTCCTGGGAACAGCAGTATAACTTCATTTGATATTGTTCTTGTATTGAGAAAGGTTTATTAATACGTTCTTTTGTATACTGGAGTGAGTACTATGAAGATAGGATAATATTCATAAGACTGTTTTATATTCTTGAAAATATTTTGGCAACAAGAATTCTTAAATTAGTGACATGTGAACAACTTCCTAAATTGCAGTGTAAGGAAGTGGTACTTAATTTGTGACAAGAAGACCTGCTGATTATATATAGTTGTATGTACACCATTTGCTGAGCAACACAAGCTGCGAAATGAATAATAATGAATTCAGCCTTTAGATTATTTTTCTTTTCCTTTATCAGGGTGTGTTCTAGATCCTCAGAAAGGAACCACTGTGGGGAGATCCTTTTCTCTCAGCTGGCGGAGCCACCCAGATGTGACCGAACCGATGCGATTTAGGAGTGCCACCACATCTGGAGCACCGGGAGTGGAAAAGGCGAGAAATATTGTTCGCCAAAAAGCAACTGGTAAACATTTATTTAAATGCTTCTCAAAAATCGAGTTGTTATCTAAAATGAATTTATAGACATAAGGTGTGTTAAAAATTCTACTCAAAATTTAAATATTAGACCTTATATTAAATGAAATGTCTCTGCATCTTTTTAGCTTTCTGCTGTGGTTACTTTTCAAATCACAGTTTTCAGTTACTTATTTCTAAATCCTCCATTGTGAAAAAGAACTTGAGATGTTAATGTTGAGTGAGATATTTGTACGAAATAGAGAAAATAGAGGTTTTGTTTGAACCTTGAAGAAAATAGATTGTTAATAAATACACCAGTAGTTGCATTATTGTCAGTGTTAAACCATGTTAATCTTTAGAGTGTGGCAACCTGTTTCAGCAAAGAAAAGGAGAATTATACACTTTAGTTTTCAGGACTGGATAGACATTTTCATTTTTTGCTCCTTTGGAAAATTGAGCCTTTTCATGTCTGTGTATGTTATCTTTGCAGCCTATTTCCATTAGCAACTTGACCAACAACCCCCAGTTAATTGGACTACTTTGCTACATTTTACTCTTTTTTTTGTTTTTTTTGTTTTGTTTTGTTTTGTTTTTTTGTTTTTTTTTTTTGTTTTTTGAGACAGATTCTTGCTCAAAGTGTAGTGTAGTGGTGCAATCTCAGCTCATTGCAACTTCTGCTTTCTGGGTTCCAGCAGTTCTCCTGCCTCAGCCTCCTGAGTAGCTGAGATTACAGGCGCCCCACCACGCCCAGCAAATTTTTGTATTTTTAGTAGAAACAGGGTTTCACCATGTTGGTCAGGCTGGTCTCAAACTCCTGACCTCGTGATCCGCCTGCCTCGGCCTCCCAAAGTGCTGGGATTACAGGCGAGAGCCACTGTGCCCAGCCTACATTTGACTCTTAAAACAAAAAGTGAACTCTTTAAAAAGAAGCTTGTATATGGCATTTAATAAGAATAAACAAAACCACCTCCTCCCCAGTGACTTTGAGCCTGTAACTTAGATTTAAGACAATTGTAATTGATAATTTAGCATGTTGACTTCAGAAAGTCGCAAGATCCTCTGACCATAAAACAAAGATTCATTAAGGCTCAACATATTCTATAGTGCTTAGTAAAGGCTTAATACAGATAGTTTAGAATCCTGTTGGAGTTTTTATGAAAATATATTCCACCTTAACTGTAACTCTCTCATACTTTTTTGCTGTAGCATTTGCTGGAAATTATCACCTTATTTACATGCACGGCCTCTTCTGCTTCTTCCTTCTTTCCGTCATTCTCTCCCCTGAGGGGAGACCCGATTCATTGTTAGCAGGCAACTTTTGAGGATGCTTATTCACTGATTTCCTTTCTCATTCCAATTCCTAAAAACTATTTGCTTTTATCATTGGATTCTTTGGTTTTTTTTTTGTTTTTTTTTTTTGAGTCGGAGTCTCATGCTGTCGCTCAGGCTGAAGTGCAGTGGTGCGATCTCAGCTCACTGCAACCTCCACCTCCCAGGTTCAAGCGAGTCTCCTGCCTCAGCCTCCTGAGTAGCTGGTACTACAGGTGCGCACCACCATGCTCAGCTAATTTTTGTACTTTTAGTAGAGAAGGGGTTTCACCATGTCGGTCAGGCTGGTCTCGAACTCCTGACCTCAGGTGATTCACCCGCCTCGGCCTTCCAAAGTGTTGGGATTAACGGGCGTGAGCCACTGCACCCAGCCTACTGGGAATTTGAATAGGCAAAGGGTAGGAGAAAGGGCAGTAGGGTAAAAAGTTTGTTTCAGTTTTTACAAATGTGTCACTATCATTTGTAGTTCCATTTCATTAATGTTAACTGATATCATACAAAAATAGTAAAGCAGCAAGTAAATCTTTGTATTTTTGTTTTAGAATAAAACTGATTTTACAGATTGTGGTTTTACATATATGAAGCACATTTTCCTCCTGTGTTCATTCAATTCCTCCAATGTTTATTTGACTGGCAGTATATAGAAAACATAAGAATATCGTAAAGTACACACTAAAGATGTATGGATTTAATAAACATGAAATGTGACATAAAAGGATGGGTTTCATGGAGATTTTACCTTTTCCTCAAATATCAGATCTTTTAATGTTCAACTTGACTTTTATGTGTTCTTGAGCTTTTTGGTTATTTAATTTACTGATTTGCTTTTGAATACAGTCAGCTCTCAGCAAACCAACTTCTGAATGAAGGCCAGATATTCCCTCTCTCACCATGGTCTTTTTGTATTTGTCCTTTAGGAAAGGAAAACTGATTATAATGCCTGTCCAAGCAAATAACCTGAATGTGAATCTGATACACAGCAGAAAGAAGGAAAGGCTAAACATATAAAGCATTTCAAAATAAAATTATTTGTGGATTGCCCATTGTCCTATGTCATGCGAATGACTGACTGAAAGTTGGCTGTATTTAGAGACTACAATTAAATACTGTACTTTGTACTGACTTCCTTTAAAGTTTAAAATGACCTCCTTTAAATGTTTAAAGAGAGCCCAGAAAAGTAATGATAATAAATTGAAAGGTCTTATTGTTCTTCTGACATAATTATTACTTTATCTCTCCTGGAAGCTAAGCGAAGCCAGTCTATCAGCAACTGTGTCCACCTTTCTGAGGCTTTGCCTGCCACTAAAAGCGTCCCGCTCCTCCTTCACACCGTGAGCGCTCTCTTACCTGGTCTCTCTTACTCTTCTTGCTCTCACAGGCTGTCAGGTACTGTAACACTGTCTCATGTGTCCATCACTGTTCCCGGGCTTCTCCGGCTTGCCTCTGGGGCTTGCTTCCTTTGTTAATATCCCCACATGACACACGTGCCTCACCATTACACTAGTGTTAAATTGCAATGAATGCTAGTAATTACTTTTGTGTAGTTAGATGCTTAGTGGCAATTAGATAGTCAAGAAAAATTTCTGTAACTTTGGTCTTGGCAGTAACAATTAAAGAGGATAGAAGGGTTTTTAAGTCCATAGCTATTTAATAGGGGGAAATGTGATGCCTGCCTTAGTGTGTCTTCTATACAGTACCCATAGAAAGTAAGGGGATTTTCATAAAAGTTTTGAACATGTCAGTATTAGAATGCTTGCTATGCCTTCCAAAAAATGAATAAACTAGAAAAATGTATGTAGGCGGGATCTACTTGGAGTTAATAAATCATGTATGTGAAGTAATGACCAGTTATGTAGATTCATACGGACTATTGAAATTTGAGTGAAAAAGGACCAGTGCCAAAAAGCAGTAATTTCCAAAACAAAGAAACGTTGTTCTTGTACTTCAGCCAATTAAAATTGAATTTAGCCATGTGTGATTTACACACAGTACCTTTTTTATTACGACATCATAGCACCAAAAGTCATATTTGGCCTAGTTACTTCAACAGAAGAATTTACCTTTCTCTATATTGAATAATTAGGTCTATGTCTATTTATTTTTCAGTGATTCTAGGATGAACTGAATCTTCTTCCTTAAAAGAGAAAGATCATTTTCATGATCTTTTTTGTTTTCAGAAATCTGGCATTGTAGATTAGTATTTTTTGTTGTTGTTGTTTTTGATTTTTTTGACACAGAATCTCTCTCTGTCACCCAGGCTAGAGTACAGTGGCGCAATCTCGGCTCACTGCAACCTCTGCCTCCTGGGTTCAAGCAGTTCTCCCGCCTCAGCCTCCCGAATAGCTGGGACTACAGGTGTGTGCCACCACACCTGGCTAATTTTTGTGTTTTTAGTAGAGAGGAGGTTTCACCATGTTGGCCAGGCAGGTCTTGAACTCCTGACCTCGTGACCCACCCGCCTCAGCCTCCTAAAGATTAGTATTTTTTTTTTTTAACATTGGAGATAACCTAATTGTGGCTTTCTGTAATACTAAATTATGTCATACCATGTTTTAGCAAAGCAAAATGAAAGCTTAAGTTCTCTGATGGCTGTGTAAATACCATATTACTTTATAGAATTTAGGGGAAGAAGTTTTACCAAGAGTGAGGACTATAATGTTTCTTAGAAAACTCTTTTTCTCCAGTAACTATTAAAGGAGAAAAACAGTAAGAATGGTACATGGGAAAATGGTCACTAGTCAATTAAATTACTGTTGAGTTTTAACTGCCCGATTATTTGGTTTTCAAAAAAAAGCTATTGTTTAGAGATGATTAATAAAGTATTTAAAATGATTATACCCCCTGTTTGGCTAATATACACCCCAAATGAATTTTCTCATGTTGATAAGTTTTCTCATGTCACAGTCCATTTTTTTCTATATTTTGTTTCTCTTAAGTTTTTCCCTAGTTTGTCCAGAACATGTTCCCACAAGAAATCTCTTCCAATTAGTGATTTAATTTTGGAAGCTTTTGTTCTCATTCAATATTACATTTTATTTTACTAAGACTCTTGGTTCCTGTATATATGTATACAGTTCCAAATGAATGAAGTTAAATGTGATTTAGAGCAGTGGTTCTCAATTGGGGACAATTTCAACAATGCCAGGAGACATTTTTAATTGTCACACGTGGGAGAGTGCTAGTGGCAGCTTGTGGGTGGAAGTCAGGGATGTGCTGAATAGCTTGCAATGCACAGGACAGCTCCCAAATGAAGAATTGTCTGGTCCAAAATACCAGCAGTGCTGAGGCTGAGAAATCCTAACTTAGAGTGAAATCAAGTGGCCTGGACTTGGTCTGAGTTTTCCTGCCTTTGCCATCTTTGTTCTTGATTTTGTAGCACAAAGGGTAAAAGAACTTCAGAGTACAGTGACTTTGAGAACAACCTACCATTCTCTTTTTCACCTGACAACTATGATAGTGAGCTTCTTAGCCTGATGCCATTGGTTCTTTACTACTTAAAATGATGCCATTGTCCTTTATGACTGTCCTATCCAGAGACTGACCCAAGGGCAGATTGTATATTCTCTGCTGGTTGGCACATTAGAGTATTGAATTTGCCCTCCAATTTAAATCCTAGTGTGTAGGCATATCCCATCAACCTACTGCTAGATAATGTAACACTTAATTTTACTTTCTGGCCACAAGTTCTTTACCCTATCAATCATTGCTAATTTTGTTTACATTTAAGTTAACTTTTTTTGTTTTTGTTTCTAATCTATATGACTAGTCAACCCACCAAAATTGTTTTAATAATATAAGCAATAGACAATTACTTACTTTTAGCTATGATTGTATCTTTTTCTGATCTTTTTGGGACTGTATTTGGTGGCAGCAGCAGAATTTTGGGTGGGTTGTTTGTATTCTGGGAGGAAGAAGTGATGTTTGTATTTTGGAGTCACAACCAACTGTTTCCATTAACATGAACAGCTACATAAAGAAATACAGTTGGGGAGGTAGGACTGGCACTTTTTGTGATTTCCTTCCCGCCCCCCCTTGATGAGAACAGTTCTTTCCAGCTGTTCTATAATTTTTTTTTTTTTGAGATGGAGTCTTGCTCTGTACCTCTCAGGCTGGAGTGCAGTGGTGTGATGTTGGCCCACTGCAACCTCCACCTCCTGGGTCCTGGTTCAAGCATTTCTCCTGCTTCAGCCTCCCAAGTAGCTGGGATTATGGGCACGCCATGCACAGCTAACTTTTTGTATTTTTAGTAGAGATAGGGTTTCACCATGTTGACCAGGCGGGTCTTGAACTCCTAACGTCGTGATCTGCCTGCCTCGGCCTCCCAAAGTGCTGGGATTACAGGCGTGAGCCACCACGTTCTGTCTGTTCTACAGAGGATTTAACTGCTTTTTAGGTTGAAACATTTATCAATCTGTAGCACTTAACAGGCCATACAGATGGTAGATGTTATTTTTCTTTTAGGAATATTGTAATAGTAGTAATGAGAGTACTGTAATGAGAGTAATGTAATCAACAATCTCCCCTTATTCTAATAAAACATACTGGAATGGCATGGCAAACCTTGCCTCGCTCCTTCTGCATCTGGTTTGTGTGCTTCTAGGAAGTGCTTTGTTGTCAGGACCTGGTCTCATTTACCCATGGGAAGTTTGATCTTGTGGGAAGCTTCAAGATGCTGAGTTGATATGCATTTCCTGTGCTTTTTATAGGATCAGATTGGTATCATTCATGGTGTTTTCAAAATTAGGAAATTATATTTATTTTGCTTATGCAACTTTGTACAAGGGATAAATGGAACTCAGAATTTTGGTTATTGAAGAATGAGCCTCACTGCACTTACTAAATGTAAGACTGATTAATGAAGCCTTAAAAAGTGAGTGAAATTGCTATGAAAAATAGTCAGAGATCTGGAAAAAAATGGAAATTACTGAAGAGCTTACACACTTAATTTAATTTGATCGCACTGCCTTTCTCAGTAAAAAAACCTGAAATTTAGTAATCCTTATTGATCGTTTTCAGGTGATTTGAATGGAGCTTTAGAAAGTGATAGTTTAGGCTGGGCGCAGTGGCTCACGCCTGTAATCCCAACACTTTGGGAGGCCCAGGCAGGCGGATCATGAGGTCAGGAGATCGAGACCATCTTGGCTAACATGGGGAAACCCCATCTCTACTAAAAATACAAAAAATTAGCTGGGCATGTGCCTGTAGTCCCAGCTGCTCGGGAGGCTGAGGCAGGAGAATGCCATGAACTCAGGAGACGGAGCTTGCAGTGAGCTGAGATCACGCCACTGCACTCCAGCCTAGGCGACAGAGCGAGACTCCATCTCAAAAAAAAAAAAAAAAAAAGTTTAGTAATGGTATTGTGTAACTTACACTGTCAAGAGATGAGAAAGTTAGTGCTTTTAAAATCTGGGCAGTTGGGACTAGCTAGGCTTTAGAGAGAGTACCTTATTTGGTGAATCTGAGATAGAACTTAGCTCTTTGAAGTGATTTAAACAAATTATGTGACATTCAAAAATAGATCTAGGATTTATTATGTAATTTTAATGTAACTGATATAATTCTTTCTCTATTTTAAGTATCAGATAATCCTGTCTTTTGGTATTTGCATATCACTGTTAAAATAATTTTCATTTGTTATGAAAGAGCAACTGCTAACAGCTGACCCCATAGAATGAGAGCAGCTTTAACATAAATTGCTCTTTCTTAAATAAAATGCCAGCAGAGGGAGCCCAAGAACTATTTAAAAAGGAAAAATAGTATAAAGAAAATGTTTCTGTCATTCATGTGTTCATTTATACAAAACATGTATTTAATATAAAGTATGAGAAAATCCCAATAAATATACCATTACAAATCAGGAAATTGGGTTTAAATTGTGGGATAAGGAGAATTGAAAATTCTCTTTTACACCGTCTCAATTGATAGTCAACTACAGGAGTAGCTCAGGGCACCTGCAACACAACAGCACACTTAAGCATCATGGCTCTCCCCTTCCTTCTCACTCAATCAGGAGTGCTCCCGCCCTGCCACTGACTGCTATTCCTAAAGGCTTGGACTTTCTCCATCTGATAAGTCCCTCCTGAGAGTTTTATAAAAACAAAGCCTTAAAAGCTGCACTAGGCCAGCCTGTTGGGAAGGCAGACCAGCTGGTGGTGGCAGGCTCTTCGTCCGTCTGCTGCGTTGAGGACCAGTGGGGACACTCTAATTTGGAAGCAATGGCGCTGTGGCTATATTTCATCCCACCAGATGGCGATGTTCTTTATCTTTAGGCAGATGCTGCCAGTGTTGGCTCAGCCCTTATTTGCTCCTGCTCATAGCCCAGAAACCAACATCTATCCGTTTTTGGCATCAGGCTTCAGAGACTAACTCTTCCCACTATCCATAAAAAATGGCATATGCCAATTATATTTTAGAAAGTTAGGAAGCTCTTGGGCTCCCCCTACTGATACTGGATTAACCAGTAGATTCATTAACAAATATAAACTCTTCCCAGAAGGTTTCAACATCTTGCATAATTAGAATAAACAATTAGAGAAGACAGCCGGAAGGGCTGCCCCTATGGTGTTATTTGGCTTCTGTTGCTGAAGGCTGAAGAGACTAGAAATAGATCTGTGAGAAGGACGTAGTCTATACTTTGAGATGTGTAGGTAGATTAAAAATTTGCACATACGCTTTGTGTTTCTCTATAGAAAAATGAATAGTACTTGGCTGTTCAAAAGAAGAGGAGGGCAAAGACAACCTGGGAAACATGAGGCTTTAACGTATCTGTCTTTTCTTGCTACGTTGGCCTATCTTTGCTTGTACTCCAAACACAGTTTCCCACCAGCATCTCAAGTTAGACTCTGGGCTGGGCACCATGGCCCATGCCTGTAATCCCAGCACTTTGGAAGGCTGAGGTGGGTAGACTGCTTGAGACCAGCCTAGGCAACATGGCAAAACCCCGTCTCTGAAAAGACAAAAATGTTTTGGGTATAGTGGCATGCACCTGAACTCCCAGGTATTCAGGAGGGTGAGGTGTGAGGATCAGTTGAGCCAGGGGAGGTCCAGTGTGCAGTGAGCTGTGATCACACCACTGCACTCTAGCCTGGCAACAGAGCAAGGCACTGTCTTTAAAAAAAAAGTAAATTGATAAATTTTTGTAAGTGAAGGATCACACAAATTTCATAGTTTTGAGGTCTTGTAACCATATCAGCATACTATAAAATGCATTTTCATTTGGATAGAAACAATAAAACAGAAACCCTTTGTTGAAATTGTCTGTATTAAATTTAGAATTTTCCTATATACTTCTTGTTTAAGGTGAGCCATCAGTTTGCCTTATGACTTAGATTAAAGGATTGTACAGAGGGTGGGCAGTTGGCAGTGAGTTTCTTTTTCAGGTGACAAACCAGGTGACCCAGCCAGTTAAGATAATACAGGATGAGTTTTGATCATCCTCTTCTTAGTAGTAGTAATGAGCAGATGAAAAATTTTGGAAAAGACTTTATTCTAGTTATGTGGATGTAAAGTTTTATGACTACGTCAGTGAGTGTGGAATCTAATGAGAAACAGAGCTATGGGGGTTACATGCAGGGCCAGGGAGCAAGTCCTGTAGGGGATATTCCCAGGCCAGCACGGCAAGGAGGGATGAGGGAGCAGGTGTGCCTTTATCATAGGGGAGTGAACAGCAGGAAGAAGAGAGTAGTAGCAGGTGCCAACTGGGTTAGTACTACTGGAGACTAAAGTGAGCTAGAGTACTTTGCAAGCGGATCAGTATCTCCTGTGAGAACAAGGAAAGCCCATATTCACCCTGACTAGCATGTTTGACAACTCTCTAACAAGAGAGGGCTTTGTTGGGTTTTAAGAAGAGTGGCACAGCCAGATCTTTATTTTAGAGGGACCATGGAGAGGATAAATATGAAGGTGGTAAGAAGAGGGGGACAGTGATTAGTGATTAGTTAGCAGACTGTTACAACCACCTATGTAAAAGGTGGTGCAACCCTGAAGCTGTGACTCTAGACGGAGAGGCTGGGGTGATAATTCCAGTGCCTTGGGTGGTCTTTAGAGATTAAAGTGTACTGTGCAGTTTAGAAATGAGCTGGGGGGAACTCATTCTCTAGGGGAAACTCATTCTCTAGGGGAATATAGCTTGTAATAATACTGAGATTATCCTGTGGTCCCTACCCAGCTATGGTTTTCTATTTTATGTCTCTTATATATTGTTTTTCTACAAATACCTGTGGATCATTCTGTACTTTAGAGAATAATTCAACATTGCATTTGATGAAATAAGCCATTACATCACTATAGCATTTTATTTTGGACAGTTGGGCACTTACCTGTTAAAAAGGAATAATGCAGTAGAAATTCCCACGTTTCCTTTCATCTTCCTTTAGGGTGTGTGTGTGTGTGTGTGTGTGTGTGTGTGTGTGTGTATGTGTGTATGTGTGTGTGGTTTTTTGTTCTTCTCAAATGTACGTTATTCATTCTGTGCATCTCCTAGATCTCTCTTTCCTTGGCATGCCTGACCCTGAAATTCCAAATGACTTTTACAGTTCTTAACTTATTATTGTGGCTTTTTTCCTTTACTTTGATTGAAAAATAAACGACTTTATAGAACTTAAGTGGAAAATGTGTTCTTGGAGTAGAATATTAGGGGTTAGTAAGTGTAGGAAACTTGACGGTATAAATGCAGATTATCTGACTATAAATTATTTGTGAAAAGCATTTGAAACTTTATTTTTTAAATCATTTGTTTTAAGTGGTGAATGTGTTTTTAAAATCTTGAACTGTAACCTTGCATGTTTTGTGTTAATGCTCACAGAAGTAGAGGAGTGTCAGCAGTCAGAAAATGCATCTGCAGCCGGATCTGTCTATCTCACGGTGGGACAGCAGCAGCAGGTCCTTCGGAGCAGTAGTACCTCCGACATCCCTGAGCCGCTGTGCTCAGATTCTTCTCAGGGTACGTGGTATATTCAGTAATTAATACAGAACTATAGATTCTGGCAGAGGAATAAAAGCTGCATATAGTATTGCTTTGTACATGTATTCTAAATATATTTGTTTCAAGGGAATTACCTTTTTAATTTGGAAGGATGTGATTTATGTCAATGAAATATTTGCACTATTTAAACATGTTTATCTAAATTATTTGTATGTATCTGTATGTAGATATATACCCACTTTTTTAAAGGTTGGCATGTTTGAGGACTAGACAGGAGTCCAAGTGACTGGAGTAGAAGGAAGACAGAGACTGTTACAACATGAAGTCAAGTAGGGCATCAAATTAGGTATTATAGAAGGCAGAGAGGCAGGATGGGGGCAGGGACATAGGGAAAGGGCTGTGAGAAGAGCCGTTAAAGTTGAAAATGAGAATGGAAAGCTGACCAGACTTGTGAAAAAGTTTATTAGCAGCTTACCGACTCTGCTGAGGTTGAAAATAATAACTTTTAATAGCATTAATCTACACGGTTTCACCAACAACTTGCAGCAGCAACAGGGTGTGGAAAGCAAGGAGACAGATGGTTTGACCTGTAAACAGTGGATGATAGATTTGTTAGTGAAAGAGTGTGCTTAAAGTGTGTCTAGTGGACATAGTTACTCTGTTTTGGTGTCATGAATTAATTAAGAAATCAACCCTACGTATCAACAAGTTATCTCATATCTTTTAATGTCAAGGTCATGCTAGTCTCATCAGATGAGTAGAGAATTATTCTCTCTTAGAAATCCTCTGGAAATAAGAAAATACAGAAAAAGCTTCAGAAAATGTATTATCTGAAAGATTTTTGAAAGGTTTTGTATAAGACTATTATTTTTTTTTCGTACATATTTGGTAGAAACTACCAGTTGCCTGGATTTTTCTTGTAGGAATATTTTAAATTATCATTTAAATTTTAAGAAAATTTCAATTATGGAGGAGGAATAAGTTCAAGAGATCTGTTGTACAATATAGTGACTGTAATTTGTAACAGTGTATTGTATTCTTGAAAATTGCTGAGTAGTTTTAGTGTTCTCACCACAAAAAAGAATGTGATACATATTAATTAGCTTAATTTAGCCATTGCACAGTGTATACACACATTTCAAAACAACATGTTATACACATTACATTAATACAATTTTTATATGTTAAGTTAAATTTTAAAAGTTAAAATAGTTATAGGACGAGTTAGATTTTCCTTTTCTTGTTTTGACTTTGATAAATTATGTTTTTCTAGAAACTTATTCATTTTTTTTTCAAATTTATTGGTCCCAGATTATTCATAAAATCCTCTTATGATCAGCTTTAGTGTTTTCAGGCTTTGTGGTGATATTCCATTTTTTATTACTGAAACTGGTTATTTGTGCTCTCGTCAATCTTTATTCTCAAGCAATACTGAGACACCTTACTGCTCTCTTCTTCCTGTTGGTTCATCTGGCCAACACAGGCACCTTTTCTCTGAGATACCTTCCCCAAGATCCCAGGAAGGGTTTTGTTGACCTTCCCTATGCACACCTAAATGCGCTAAGTGAACCTGTTGGCCACAGTGAACAGTAATCAATCCACTCTCTTCATAGCTCTCTGTGGGCCAGAGACCAGGTCTAAAGTATGGCCTTGACCCGTAGGCTGCTGTTTTGCCAGGCCCTTAACTCCTGTTTTTACATATCTTAGAATGTTTAAATTTAATAGTTACCTATATATAAAATCATTTTCCAGTTTTATTATCTGAAACATTCCTTCTACCTATTTCCGCTACCCCCCTGCCCCACCATTTCTAGGTCAAAAGGCAGAAAACACACAGAATTTGAGTTCTTCAGGGCCTCAGCCTATTCAAGAGAATAAAGGACATGTGAAGAGAGAACATGAAGGAATAACAGTAAGATATTTTCAAACCATTTCAGTTTCTCATTAAAAATAAACATTAATTAGTGCTCAGTAAGTAAATTTATTGGTGGCAGTGATAATTAAAATATTTTTTCTGTTTAGACAGTTTATAGGCTCAAATGATGTTGAGATCTTTTAAGATTTTGCTAGCTTTCTATGTAAAATTACAGTCACATTACAAAAATAGGAAAAAAATTAACATGAAAATGGAGTTCAACAGCTGGTCTGTGTATGGCACTATATATTTTTAAGCAGTTACCTTTGCCTGCTAAACCTGCGTTTCAGATTCCCCATTCCTGATATCAGTTTAGGTAGCCTCCACTTGACATGAGTTACTAGAATCAGTGAGTATTCACAAAGATGTTAGGTTTCTTTAAAAAAATAAAACAAAATGGCATTTATGTAAATATGTATAAAGAAGAAAATTAAAACATAAGCCCGTAACTCATTCATGTAGATAACCCCTATTCATTTTTTTTTAGTGTAGCATATATTCTTTGAAAACTCAAACATCACAGAAAGATACACAATAAAAAAGGGAGAGCCTCTCCTTGCTCCCCTCCCACTGGACAATAACCCATGTTAAGTTTCTTTTTTCTTTATTTTTAAAAAGGGCATGTACTGGTTTACATCTGTATATTCTGTTTTCAACAATGAAATAAATACCCAGAAACCCACCATCAGCTTCAGATCATTTTGGCTTCTACGCTCCTTTCTTGTTCCTTCTCTCTGCTGTCTTCCCTCAGAGAGTGGCCTTATCTTGGCTTTGTGTTCATTATCCCCTCGCCTTGCTCTATAGTTTTGCTATATAAGTATGTATCTCTAAACAGGATATTCTTTAGTTTTCCTTACTTTTGAATTGTTTAATAAAGTATTGTTGCTTTGTTTACTCAGTTACATATTTTTAAGATTTATTCACGTTGTGCCATGTAGCAATAGTTCATGTTTTCTGTGATGTGGTATTCCACTATAAGCAGACCACAGTTTATTTTTTCATTCTCTTGTTGGTTGATGTTTAGATTGTTTCCAGCTTTTTGTTTTTGTGAAAACTGTAGCCACGTGCATTCTTGTATGTGTTTCAGTATCTGCATGTTTAATGTTTTCTCTATGATGGCTATCTAGGAACAGAATTAATGAATTATAGAATAAAAGAATGTTCTTCTTTATAAGATAACCCCTGTTCTCTAAAGTGGTTGCATCACTTATATTTTAGCCAGCATTGTGTAGAGCTCCCATTGATCTGCATTCTTGCCAACACGTTCTATTATCAGATTTTTTCATTTTTATTGGTCAACTGGGTGAAAATAAGATGTCTTATTTTGCGTTTCTTAGACTACTAATAAGGTTAAAAATCTTCCTATGTGTTTATTGGCCATTTTTGTTTCATCTGTGAAATGCCTACTGATGTCTTTGGTTGTTTTTCTATTGTCTGTCTTTTTCTCTTTATTTATATTTACTAGTTATTTGTACAATCTGAGTACTGATCCTATTTTGTTTATGTTTGTAGCAAATATCTTCTTCCAATATATGGTTTATATTTTTACTTTCTTTATGGTATCTTTTGATGAACAGAAGTTCTTCATTTTGATACTCTCTATTATTGTTTTTATTGTTGAGGTCTTATGGAATTTTTTAAAAGTCTCAACTAGACAGGAATAAAAATATTACCTTATATTTATAAATGTTTCAGGTTTGCTTTACAAATTTAAGTCTTTTATCCATTTGGAATTGATTCCTGTTTATGGAGGGAGGTAGGGATCCAATTTCATTTTTTTCCTGCATAGATAACTACTTGTGTCAGGTCCTATTTATTGAATTCATTTTTCTTTATTGATCTGAAATGCCACCTCTCTTTCATATATGCTATTTCCAAGATATGTAAGGCCTCCTTTTGGTGTTTATCTTGATTCTTGGTTACTTTGTCTTTCAGACAGCACAATATCTCAGTTAATGTAGTTTTCCCACCTGTCTCCCTTTTCCTTCTAACGGAAGTTATTTTTCTATAATCTTTTGTCTTTCATTGTTGCTGAGAAGTCTTCTGTCCATCCGGTCCTGTCTAGTTATTGTTCCTTGCTGTTTTTGTTTATTTGTTTGTCCTTTTCCTTCCATTTCACTATAGTATATTTAGGTGCAGGAATCTTTTGGGTTCATCTATTTGTTCTTTTTGGTATATGGTGTGTGCCATGCATCTGCAAGTGCTCATCTTCTGTCATTTCTGGAAAATTCTTGGTAACATTTCTGCATATATTGTCTCATTTTTTCCTCATTGGTTCAGTGGTATCTCCACCTGTTACATGGGACGCTGGGGTTAAAAAAAGAAAAGAAATGCAAATATTGCCTCTTTTATATTCTCTCTTTGCTTTCCTTCTGGAATTCTGGGTGGAAATATTAGACTTTCCCATTCTGTCTTCCTCGTCTCTTAAATGATTTTTATATTTTCCATTCTCATTGGCTCGGTGTTTTCTGGATAATTTTATCAGCTCTGTCTTTCATCAGTTCAGTAACTGTATCTTTACTCTGTTGTTTAATACTTCCCTTGAGTTTTTTAGTTGAGCAGTTATGCCTTTTGTTTCTGACAGTTCATGTTTGTACTTTTCAAGCATATCTTGTAATTTCTAATAATCTTTTGTTGCTTGCTCGTTTTTGTGATTCCCAACTTTTATTCCTTTAAAATGTTTACAAGTTGCAATTCTGAATTTTTTATCTGATTTTCTGAAATCCTTGGGGCATCTAAACCTGATATTTGTTGTTTGAGACTCTTATACATGGTGATTTATTTTCTGTAGTGTTCGATGATGATTTATTATGAGTTCCTAGCTGGCTGATCTTAATCTGCAGAAAATGTGGATTTCTAAATTGATGACATTTCAACAGCATGTTTGCATTTGTTTCTTGCACCACATGGGGAGTGCTACTTTAATCCTGGAGTCTTGGTCCTCTTGCCACTGGCAATGGTACTATTGGATTTACCGTTGCAGTAGCCACATTTCACTGCCCTGGTTTCTGCTCACTTTTAAGGGTTGAAGGTAGATTTCTTGGAAGTTTCTTTTACTTCCTTTGAGCCCCAAATTGCAACTAAAGTTTTATGTAGGATCTGTTTCTATGGCTAGAAGATATATATACCCTCTAGATATATATCACTAGATACATATACCCTCTAGATATACCTTCTACATATACACACTAGATGTATATCATTCTTCTTTAAGGCTGTATATAATTTTTTCATATAGTGTTAATCCTCTAAATCTTCTAAATATTTTATTCATGGCCTGCTTCTTTTTTTTTAGCTTAATAATTATTTTTTCTTTTAATTTTTTTTCTAGTTTTGCCATGGTCAACATTTGTGGTGCATTCCTTTTTTTAACTCTACATCTTGTTCCCCCCTTAAACCTAAGGTTCAAGGCCCATAGGCAGCTGTGTCTTTTTAGAAGGTCTGCATTTCTTCTTATGTTTGTCCTTCTTCACCGGGCTGCCCTGCATGGCCTGGTATAACCAGCATCTCTTCCTGTACATAGAACTTGCTGATTACCACCCAGTACTTCCTGCCTTGAATCCTCTTCTGTCTTCCCTCTACCACTTCATGTCCATTGCCATCTTGAACAGCTCTCCTATAAAACTGAGCCAATTAAGGCAACAGTTTATTCTGTATACCTTTCAGAGACCGTTTATTTGCATATTTTGCTTATATACATTATAATTATTTTGTGTAATTTGTGTATGTTTTGTCTCTCCAAGCAAATTATAAGTTTTTAGAGGATGCAGATTGCCTCCTGATTTTTTTTAATCCTGTGAGTTTAATACAAAGTTAAGCAATGCTCAGGAGAGTTTGTGGCACACTTAACTAGGAAGACACTGAATGAACCTTTAGAACTCTGGATGGAGTTTGTGCCTTGCCTACCAGCACACTTACCATTTGTGTGCATAACTTAATGCCTTCCTAGAGCATTCTGTTCACTATATATGTGTGCTTGGCCAGAAGAACAAATAGAACTTTAAAAGAAATCTCTTGCATATAATTTGGCATTCCTTCTTAGATCAGTTTAATTGGATGTAAGTTGACAAAGTAGAGGATATAAATAAAAGTTTCAGATCTTGAGTAACATAAAGTTAAATATAGTAATTTGTGAAAATATATCCTTCAAATGGAAAACATCAATTTATTTAGCTATTATTATTGTTTGTTTCTTTTTCTTTAGAAATTTGGGCTAGAAACTTAAGTGTTATAAAAATGAAAACTTTCCTGTAGTAAGTGCAATATTTCTTTTTGTCTGAAGATTTTAGTTCGAAGAAGCAGCAGCCCTGCTGAATTGGATTTGAAAGATGATTTGCAGCAGACACAAGGAAAATGTAGGGAAAGACAGAAGAGTAAGTTCCAGGAAATGTCTGTTCCTCTGACTATAGAGTTGATATGTTCTATTTTCTTTTTATGTTTTATTATTATTACTATTATTATTATTAGAGACACAGTCTCACTCTTTCGCCCAGGCTGGAGTGCTCTGGCACAATCATGGCTCACTGGAGCCTTAACCTCCCCAGGCTCGGGTGATCCTCCCACCCAAGCTTCCTAAGTAGCTGGGACTACAGGCACATGCCAGTGCACTCGGCTAATTTTTCTGTTTTTTTTTTTTTGTTTTTTTTTTTTAATAGAGATGAGGTTTCGCCATGTTGCCCAGGCTGGTTTCAAACGACTGGGCTGAAGCCATCTTCCCACTTTTTACCTTCTAACTTGAGTAATAGCTTGTCAATTTGAGAGAGATGGTTGTGAAATGGAACCTTCTTATTCCTGGAATCCCAGGATTGACAAAAGATTCATCCATACATACAATAAAACAGTTCTACTCACCTGTACCTTGAGAGGCCCGTCTTTCTACCCCTGGGCCTTTCTCCAGGAGAGTGGTACATCAGAGGCTGATGGCACGAGTGAGCAGATAGACCAGAGAGAAAAATTATCTTCCCCAGAAAGTTCCCAGAGGCTAGAAGCAAAAAGCATCAGAAGTACATTGAAGTTAATGGGATAAATACTTTGACATGAAATGAGGTTGGAATCCTGAGACGTATTATCATATACTGTAAAACACAGCCTTAGTACTCCGCTTTCCTGAAGTCAAGTGCCAGAGTAGCATAGTAAACACCGTCTCAAGTTCAGAACAGTTCTTGATGGGTGCAGAGGAGTTCCACCTTCACCCTGCTGGCTTAGAGCCCTTTGGGAGATGAAGTTTGGTACCTACCATTGGTCACCTGGTTACTGAGACAACTTTCAGTTCTTTGTGGGTAAATAGAGGACAGCAGATTAGAAACAGCAAGGGTAAGGGACTATTAGGAGCAGACAGAGCAGCCATAAGGGTGAGCAGACAGAGATGTAGCTGCATAAAGTTGTTATGAAGTAGACAGGAGACTTTGAGAAGCAGAACTGTCTAGGTTCATTTTATGTCAGACTAAATAGTTCTATACGTCTTCATAGCCCAGCCTTATTATATTATGACAAATTAGAACTTATTAATGTTTAAAGGGGAGAATTTCTGTTCTAGAAAAATCTGTTGTATTGGAACACTCTATCCCCAAATGACCCTGAATGAGTCACCCTAGGTCTATGTCTACCCATCAGGCTTGGAGCATACAGCATCCTTAGACTCTTCTACCCAGTAGAGTAAGCTTGCATTTGTGGTGGATCAGTTATTATCTTCTTCTTCCACCCACCCTCATTTTGTAAGTCCCAGCACACTTTAGGACTTGGTGTAGTTTGGGTATGGGGGCACTGAGTGAAGACACATTGAAGAGTGCCACTTGAATGATGATCTTGAATGATGAATAGAATGATCTATTATGATTGTGTTCATAATAGATATTTATCTCCTGTATTTGGAAGATTAATTTTCTTGACCACATGGGCACTTTATGAGCTCCACTCAAGTTCTGCAGGTTCTGCCAAAGAACCTGAATGATTCCTGCTGTGTCTGCTGTTTGGTTACTTTCATATGAGTAATTGTGAACATTCTGATTTTCAGCTACTTTTTATCTTAAACTTTGGTTCTTCCGTTGTACCAGGTGAAAGTACCAACAGTGACACAGCTCTGGGCTGTATCAATGAGGCAGAGCTGTCCATGGGCCCATGGCAGACCTGTGAGGAAGACCCAGAGCTGAATACTCCCACAGATGTTGTGGCTGATGCGGATGCTCGTCATTGGTTACAACTGAGTCCCACTGATGCTTCGAATTTAACAGGTGAATTGCATTTTGGAAAAGAGGCAGTAGTGCAAACAGCTAGGAGATCAGTTGTGAATCCTTGGAGTCCTGTATACAGAGGGTTCTGAAACAGTTGTAGGAGGAAGTGTGCCATGCTCCTGACCACTGTCCACCGTAGGAGGAAGTGGTGGTATTCATGTTAAGCCTTTATCCCTAACTGAATTGTTCTACTCTAGAAAGAAGAGTGATTTTTCCAACTCATATATGTTGTAAATCCAGGATAAGTCAAGGAGTTTAGATAGCTTATTGATTAATTTTTTAAAATTTTTAAATAAAATATTTGGTACATAAAATGTAAGTTGTAACATATACAGTATGTAAGTTACGGGGGACAGTAATGAAGTGAACATGAGTGAGTCTGCTACCCAGCTTAAAAACTAGCATGGCACCCAAGCCAGTGAGGTCTCCTAGAGGTGTTTCTCAAGTCCCTCCTGTTCTCCCATTATTTTGGGACCCTAGCCCAAATTTGTTTTTATAATAATTTCCTTGATTTCTTTATAGTTTTACCATGCATGTCAAGCAATATATCATTTAGTTTTGTTTCTAAACTTTAAAAATAATGACTTCATACTCTGTATTTTTTGCAACTTTTTAAATCTCAGATTGTTTGACTTCAGAGCCAAACTTTCTGGGTCGGCTTCCAGGCACTTCTGAGGAATTGCTGGGTGACCTTGAGCTAGTTATTTAATCTCTGTCCTTCTATTTCTTTGTCTTTAAATTTGGGATAATAACCCCTACTTTATAAAGGTTGTTGGAAGAATAAATGAGTGAACATATAAGTCAGGTGCACAAAATGGTGTGTGTGGAGCAGTCTGCAGTTTTAGCTACACACACACACACACACACACACACACACACACACACACACACACAGTGTGACACTGGGTAAGTGAACCTCAAAGGCTAAGTTCCCTTACCTGTATGACCAGTCTGATGAGAACAGGGAGACCATGGAGGAGCTGGGTTTGGTTTTGCTTTGTTTAATGGAGTGTTAGGAGAGACTCGTGCTCTGAGGAATCAGTGCGGGAAAGGCTGACCAGAGCTAAGACTTTTCTAGCTGCACGTTCATGTTCACACATAGATACCGTGTATGAAAACAACCACCACAAAGTAACATGTTAAGTAAAGAGTGTTATTAAAATTCCAAAATATATTTTAAAATGATTAACATAAAGGCTAAAATTTTACCTTAAATGGATTTTTTTCAAACCAAGCAAACTAGTTTTCACTGTGTTGTAAAATTTAACCAACATCTCTGATATTTGGGAAATTCTTGATGGAATATCATTAAAACTTCATAAAAGTAACATATAAAGGTGGTATTCAATAAAATTCTTTATAGACTAATAATGACTAATAATACTATTCATTGATATGAGATTTAACATTTACAAAGAATTTTGAGGCATTCTCTTTGATTCTGTATGGGAAGCAGGCCAAGCTTATCATGTCTGTTTTAGAGATGGGGAAATTGAGACCCAGGGAAATTGTTATCAAGCTGGAGTGTGAGTTCCAGGGATGAAACTGACTTTCAAAGTGTTTTGACTCAACATGCAGTGCTGTGTCTACTCCTTCACACTGTGTTCCTGTTAAAATTAAAATTATTGTAAAGCCCTTTGACCTACTTGAGAATCCTTACAGATTATCCAAGAGAAACTCATCATCGTGGTACCATAGGAGGCAAAACTGAAGCTTCAGTAGGTTGAATTTACTTAAACATGGACTAGTTTTAATTATTTTTATTGAAAGGGAAGAAAATTAGGTGATTACTTCTTTTGTCTGTTCTTTGGAAAGATTAGTTTTGATCCCATTTCAGGTTATGTATTGGACAGCTCAATTTAATAAACCTCTGTGAGGTAATGTTATATGATGTACTCCATGTTGTGCTTAACTCCTCCAAATACTTAGTTCTTCTTTGAAATACTAATATAGAGAATCAGTACATGCAGTTCAATAGTTCACCTTGTCATCTGTGAAAAGGACAAACTGTAATGTGAGAAGGTTTAAGGATTATCACAATTCTGAATTTAACTTTCTGTTCTTAAGAGAACAATTTCTTCATAAATGTTCAAACTAAAACTCATATGAGCCTGATTTTTAGGACATTTTGAGAGACAATTTGAGTATATCTTTGTTTCTTGTTGAATAATCCTACCAGTTATCAAATGCTTAGAATAATAAACTGCCTCCAAAATCTTAAATTCCTTCATCACTGGCAAACTAACAGTTTACTTTTATATTTGCTTTCTCACTTAAATTATGTTTGCTGAAAATAACAGCTAAATTTACTGTGCATTGTCTTAAAGTTTACCTGGGATTTGTTTTAATCATATGTGGTAAGACATACAGATATGGAGGTGATTGTCATGGAGGAAGAATTTTCTACTCACAGATCCTGGAAACAGGGGTCATGCAGGGAAGTACCAGGAGGCAGAAGGAACAAAATGGGGCAACAGCCTTTAGTGTCATTTCTATGAAAATAGCAAAGCAAGGCAGGGTATGCAGATTTAGGATTGCTAGTATGAATGACTTCAGTGGGCTCTGGAGCATACGGGCTATTTCTGCTTGCCTGGTACCCACCCAGTCCTGGGATGACAGGGCAGAGGATATTGACTTAGTATGTGAGAACTAGAGAAAGGAGGTAGTTGGAGGGTCTGAATTTTGAATTGGTAGGTTTGAATATGAAAGACCTGCTGCCTGGTGAATAGACTTCTATCTCTAGGAATTAGCTAACCCTAGAAGTGGCAGTGCTTCCCTGATCAGTGAGGCCCTAATGCCAGAGCATTGAGAAAACAGAAAATAAGAAAATATAGTTAATACATACATACATTTAGTTCTGTTGAAATAGTCAGGGGAGGGGGACATTTATGAGTCTACAGCTAAGAATTAGTACTGTCATTTACCTCATCCCTTGTTTAACAAATGAGCTTATAGTCTAAAATACTGATTTAGATGCTATGAGAAATAAAAAGATGAATAGGTCATAAGCTTCTATAGTTTTTAAGTGCTTACAAAAAGGACAGAAGACACAACATTTATCCTAATAGTCACAGATAATGTGATAAATTCTATGAAATTACTTAAAGTTATAATCATAGAGATAGACAAATAGATGGATGGAACAGAAGATAAAATACAGAACTGAGTGCACACAGACATGGAATCATGATATATGATATATGTGGCTTGTCAGGGCTGACAAGGAAACAATGTATTGTTCAACAAATTTCTGTGGAGCAGGTACTTAGCCATATGGAAAAAAATGAAATAGAATTCCTACCTCATACCATGTCCAAAGTCAGTTTCAGAGGGATAAAATACATAAATGTGAAAAGGAAAATTGAAAAACTTGGAAGAAAACATCTTTTTTAAAAGGGTCTATGTTGTTTGGTTTTTTTTAAAAAAGCTAACCATAAGAAAAGTGTCAGTAATTCAACCTCAGCAAAATGAAAACTCTATTACCAGATAAACTTTTAAGAATTCTGTGGTTTAGCAGAACCACAAAGGGAAAAAACCAGCTTTGTTGCTCTTTCCTTTCCATGTTCTTGTTAGCTCAGGGATAAGTTTTAAGGTAAGGTTTGGTGAGAAATGTTATCCAGCATCTTGGTTTAGTTGGGAGATTCCAAGGTCTTTCTCTACTGGAATGCAGACTCCAGGAAGGGGAGGCCTGTTATCTGCTGTCTGCACAGCTGATTCTTGCTTCCAGGAATAGTGCAGGACAGGAGAGAAGCGTTCAATAAATACTTGAATCAGTGAACAAATACACTTTAAGCTGCAAGCTGTTGTTTTATATAGCTGAAAAGAGCAATTAAATTTTAATTGTTTAGAAATAATATATAAGACAATTTCAAAATCTCTTTTATTTAGTGTGTTTATCACAGTCTTGCATCCAAACATTACAGAAATCTTTTTACCACTTCTGCTTTTAGTTATAGCTGTGAAAATGAATTACATCTCCTGTTACCTGCCACTAAAATTGTGTTTCCAAGAATGCTTTGTCAGCATTCTCTGTCATCACCTATATTTTTGGCATTTTCACCAGACTTTGATGTGTGTAGAAGTCATGAAATATTAGAAAGAAAAATAATAATGATAGCTACTGGGGCATTGGTAGCTCACCTTCTAAAATCTTTGCAGTGAACAGTGGACATCCTTGCAAAGGAGAGGAAGAAGGAGAGGAGAGCCAGGCTGCACTGGTGGGAATGGGATGCCACCTTGCTGCTTCTCCACTTGATCATTGACATCCAGGCCAGGCCTGAATTTTCTGGCGCTAGAATTAAGTTGTTTCACTCAGGCCTTTGAGTTTGTTTTTTGTGTTTAGATTTCAAATCAAAAGGAAAATTTGTTTTTGGAGACTGAGGCTACGTTTCTTTAACACTGTGCCAAGCTTATATAAAATCGTAGCCATATAAAATCACCATTCGGCCATAAATGCTTATTTTGCCTATTACCAAGACGTATTTCGTGGCTAAAATTCTTTCTATATTTGCAGAGTTCTAAACTTTTAGATCTCTTTGTAAAAATTATTTATGTGTTTGGAGAAAGACGATACGATTATGCTTGTAAGAGTTTTCACTTTAATAAAAAAATTTTAAGTTATAGCATTAAGTAGTAATAAAACAAAAAGATAGTAGGCTAGCATACTAGGTTGCTAATGAAAATAAAATAAACTAAATATTGGATATTTTTAGGGTGAACATGAAATTTTCTGAAGTCTCCCAAATCCCCATTTTTAATTAAGTGCTCCTTCACTGAGGAACCCTCTACATGTAAAATGTCAGCATCTGTTCTGTCACTTATGCTACCAGCAGAATAATTTTGGGCAAAACATTTCAACTCATTAACATTTTTGTTCATAGTAATACTGAGGAAACTCATACAGGCATCTCAGAAACTCCTGAAGAAGTCAGCATACTTTGATAATTTTATGGAGGATGTTGCCTAGGATTTTATCATCGAAGCATGAGTTTTTCTGAGTG